AGGCTGGCATACGCTTCCTCCTTGTCGCTGCGGGCGGCAGGCACCAACGCATCAATTTGTATGATAGACCATGACGAAGAATTCGTTGAAAACAGGTGCGGAGCCGTCGGGGGCTGCTGAAGAACGAGCGGTGTTGGGAAAATAGGGTCGCGTTCATCCAGGTTAGCAGATGCTGCGTTAATACACGCGTGGATTAATGCGCTCGTGGTGTCGCTGTCGCTGTCGCGAGAGAGACGCGGTTTCACGATCCTAGGCTCGACCCGCTGGAATGCTCGGCTCGGCCAGGTTGGACTTCGGACTCGGTGCTCGCATGTTAGCAGCCGTATACACAGCGTACGATTTCACGATTGAAAGTCCACAGCTGGCGATTATTGCGCCGAGCTCTCCGTTCTCGCGGTGGCTCTTCCAGGGACGGACGCTAAGTGGTCGAGGAGCTGCGTTGACATGATCCCGCTCTCCAGTTAATCACTCACTCCTACATTTGCCGCCTAGCACTCAAGTCTTCAACCAGAAACTCGAGCTCCAGACGAACGAACCATGGTCTCGATCTCCGGCACCAGTCGCGCGATCTTCGCTGTTTGTTCCCTCATCGCCGCTCAGGGCGGCTTTGCTGCCGCTGGCGCGACTCAGACTGACGTCGGCGCGTGCCTCGACAAGGCCGGCATCGAGAACTCGTTGCCCACGACGTCGACCTGGAAGGCTGACACGGAGGCGTGGAACTCGCGTGTGAGCCCCGTGCCGTCGGCCGTTGCCTTCCCCAAGAACGAGGAGGAGGTGTCGGCCGCGCTCAAGTGCGCCGCCGACGCCGGCGTGAAGGTGACGACGCTAGGCGGCAACCGCTCGTTCTCGAGCATGGGCTTCGGCCGCAACGACGGTGCTCTCATCATGAACCTCAAGCACCTCAAGCACCTCGAGTACGACGCGTCCACTGGCCTGCTGTCGTACGGCGGCCCCGTCATGATCTCGGAGGCCGCCAACTACATGTGGAGCAAGGCCAAGCGCACCCTCCCCCACGGCCGTTGCCCCGACGTCGGCATGACTGGTGTGGCCGCTTCTGGCTTCGGCACCCTCTCGCGCGCCAGCGGCACGGTGCTGGACAACATCGAGTCTGTGCGCGTGGCGCTTGCCAACGGTTCTATCGTGAACGCCAACGCCAAGCAGAACTCGGACCTGTTCTGGGGCGTGCGCGGCGCCGCCAGCTCCCTGGGCGTGGTGCTGGACTTCAAGATCAAGACGTACAAGCCTCCGTCGCAGACCGTGACGAACTACACGATCGAGTTCAACTCGAGCGCCAAGCCGACGCAGCAGGACAACGTCGACGCGCTCGTTGGCACGCAGACGTGGGCTCTGAGCAAGGACAACAACGACCTGCTGTCCATCCGCTTCAGCCTCAAGACCAAGTCGACGCTGCAGGGCTTCTTCTACGGCTCGTCCAAGAAGGCCAAGACGGTCTTCGCCTCGCTCATGAAGAACCTGCCGCCGTCGATGGTGCTCAAGACGAACGAGTACGACTTCTGGGCGTCGGAGGCCATCTCGACCCCCGGCCTCGTGGAGCAGACGCTCACCCCTCGCCGCTACTTCTACATCGCATCGGTCACGATCCCCCGCTCGAAGCCGCTCACCAACGCGACGGCCTGGGAGCTGTTCTCCAACACGGCCTTCGCTCCTAAGCTTGTGGACGCTTCGGCCTCCGGCTTCGTGGACATCTGGGGCGGCAGGTACGCCAAGGGCGTGAAGCCTGGTGCGTCGGCGTGGAAGCACGACAACAACCTGCACCTGGTCCGTTGGGACATGCGCTCGTCGGCCTTCAACGTTTCGTTCGCTGACAGCACGATGACGACCATGCGCACCGGTTTCTACAAGTTCGTGGACGCCTACAAGGCTTCGGGCGGCGTGCCCGGTGGCTTCACGACGTACCGTGACGAGAAGTGGACGGTGGAGGAGATGGCCGAGTACCTGTACGGCGGCGGCAACTTCGCCAAGCTGCAGAAGATCAAGACCGTGTACGACCCGAACGAGATGTTCAACACGGACCCGCAGGCCATCCCTGCTCTGGCTTAGGAAACCAGATAGATCAAAATCGTATTGTCACCTTCGTTACAGAAGATGTCCAATTTACAAATTCATGTGACGTGTGAGCCTTAGAATAGTTTTTTCAAACTAATGAGGTGCCCCTTCGTTCAACGCAAATTCTATAATGAGGCACCCCTAATAGTTTTAGCAGAGCCGAGCAGTGCTGAATCACCAGACATCAACAAACTAGGATTTTGTGCCTAATGCCAATTTGGACTTGAAATCGGTACTTTGGAAACCTTTAATTAGACACCATACAAAGATCTATATATTTATAAACATATGGTTTAGAGAATCTGCAAGTCGCTTTCAGTATGTATGCGTTCCTGTCATGACCGAGTATGAAATCGCTCGCACGCCAGGACTCATTATGGTAGTCTCGACAGTGCGTCTAACAGTAAGAGTTTATATTGTAGTGATGCCAGGTCCACCAAGCTGGAGAGCTATCCTCTGCTGATGCTAGCCATAATACCTGAGAAATCGCAAGCTCCTCGCTCGTTCTGTGGTATGCATAGCACCATCCATAAGACACTGTACGGTCACGAAGGTTTGATAGTCAGCCGGGTGCCAGGTTACACGTACATGCAATAGCTGTTTTCTTATTTACTACGATTACTACTGGTGGATTAGCATGTTATTCACGATTGCCTGGACGACCTAACGCTCATAACTCGACAGGTACTGCTGCCGCGGAGTACGCTATTTCGCACGAGAGCTTCGTTGGTATACCAAATGCACAGGGCAGAGTGAAGGTCGACCAAGCTTGCTTCTATGAAACAATTGGCGGGAACCCGAGTACCCATCGGGACCCCGGTTCCCCCAAAACTACCGGTACCCATGTATGGTCAAATGTATTGGAGTGTGGGTCTATGACCTACGTTGAACTTAGCTTAACCCTTTCGCGGTAGAAGGATACAGAAAGCGCCCTTTAGATGATTTTCCAAAACACGGTAGAGTGTACCCCCTCTTAAAGGGCGCATTCTGTGCCCTTTTGCACAAGTTCAAGCCAGTAATCAACCTTTTAAAACAAATCATAATCGGTACGCAGAGTAATCATCATGTAATCATTGCCAATACAAATTCTAAGTTATACGCATACATTCTATGTATCCTGCAAATCACCGTAGATGGCATGTCCCATGAGACACACCGAAAAGGCTCCGTAACTTTGTAAAAGGACGCCTAGAGCGCCCTTTTAGAAGGAAATATCAATGAGTTGTATACTATAATTTATTGAGGATACTCGCGAAAGGGTTAAGCTCGGTAGAGAAACGGAAGGTGAATTCGTCATCGCTCCCGTCCTGTGTCTCTCCATGAAAATCCAGACTCTTCCCTGGTAGAGCGGTAGAAGGCTTTCCGGCCACATCGCTAACCTCCTGCTCGACTTTGACATGGTAAGGTACGTTATTCCGAATAACTTATTCGGATCTACTCAGTACCGGTGACAGGTTTGTGGTTCTCATTCGTTGACAGCACTTGGGTTTGATGGTTTAACTTGCCCCAACGGTACCAATATGGGGCCGAAAATAAAATAAATAATTCGCGATTTGGTCGGTATCATTTGCGGGAACCCGGGTTCCCGCCAATTGTTTCATATCTCCACAAACTAATATCCGAGATGGGTGGTACTTGATTGCAAGTACACTTCGCTGACTTACACGAGTAATACGCTGGAGATGCTCTTAGGAAAGATGCCACGTCCGGCATCGCCACCCTGGACGAAGACACAATATGAATGTATCTGGGTAAGTAACTTAATGAGCCACTTATGCAGATATGAGCAAGCTAGTAGATAATTTACGTGTCATCTAGCAGAAAGCAAAGAAAAAATACCCTAAAGGGTTTGTAGTACGATATTTACGTTCGTGAATGTCATCCCAACAATCAACGTCTTAGCTTGAAGTAAGTAGTTGCAAGGCGACGCAGCACACGAGTTCAAACGAAGTCTATGTACTCGAGAGTCCGTGCCGGATAGCACCGTGAAATCTCCCATAGTGCCAATTCGTAGGTGGCGCATGAAGACACGGGAGATGTAGTCTTGCGGACAGAACTATTGTACTTCACTGCGAGTACTCCATGATACTTAGCCAAGTGTAACGAAGTCAGATAGATACTCCGCGATACAGATCTCTACGCTTTGCTGGAACATGGTTCATGGTCGACCTTCACTCTGCCCTGTGCATTTGGTATACCAACGAAGCTCTCGTGCGAAATAGCGTACTCCGCGGCAGCAGTACCTGTCGAGTTATGAGCGTTGGGTCGTCCAGGCAATCGTGAATAACATGCTAATCCACCAGTAGTAATCGTAGTAAATAAGAAAACAGCTATTGCATGTACGTGTAACCTGGCACCCGGCTGACTATCAAACCTTCGTGACCGTACAGTGTCTTATGGATGGTGCTATGCATACCACAGAACGAGCGAGGAGCTTGCGATTTCTCAGGTATTATGGCTAGCATCAGCAGAGGATAGCTCTCCAGCTTGGTGGACCTGGCATCACTACAATATAAACTCTTACTGTTAGACGCACTGTCGAGACTACCATAATGAGTCCTGGCGTGCGAGCGATTTCATACTCGGTCATGACAGGAACGCATACATACTGAAAGCGACTTGCAGATTCTCTAAACCATATGTTTATAAATATATAGATCTTTGTATGGTGTCTAATTAAAGGTTTCCAAAGTACCGATTTCAAGTCCAAATTGGCATTAGGCACAAAATCCTAGTTTGTTGATGTCTGGTGATTCAGCACTGCTCGGCTCTGCTAAAACTATTAGGGGTGCCTCATTATAGAATTTGCGTTGAACGAAGGGGCACCTCATTAGTTTGAAAAAACTATTCTAAGGCTCACACGTCACATGAATTTGTAAATTGGACATCTTCTGTAACGAAGGTGACAATACGATTTTGATCTATCTGGTTTCCTAAGCCAGAGCAGGGATGGCCTGCGGGTCCGTGTTGAACATCTCGTTCGGGTCGTACACGGTCTTGATCTTCTGCAGCTTGGCGAAGTTGCCGCCGCCGTACAGGTACTCGGCCATCTCCTCCACCGTCCACTTCTCGTCACGGTACGTCGTGAAGCCACCGGGCACGCCGCCCGAAGCCTTGTAGGCGTCCACGAACTTGTAGAAACCGGTGCGCATGGTCGTCATCGTGCTGTCAGCGAACGAAACGTTGAAGGCCGACGAGCGCATGTCCCAACGGACCAGGTGCAGGTTGTTGTCGTGCTTCCACGCCGACGCACCAGGCTTCACGCCCTTGGCGTACCTGCCGCCCCAGATGTCCACGAAGCCGGAGGCCGAAGCGTCCACAAGCTTAGGAGCGAAGGCCGTGTTGGAGAACAGCTCCCAGGCCGTCGCGTTGGTGAGCGGCTTCGAGCGGGGGATCGTGACCGATGCGATGTAGAAGTAGCGGCGAGGGGTGAGCGTCTGCTCCACGAGGCCGGGGGTCGAGATGGCCTCCGACGCCCAGAAGTCGTACTCGTTCGTCTTGAGCACCATCGACGGCGGCAGGTTCTTCATGAGCGAGGCGAAGACCGTCTTGGCCTTCTTGGACGAGCCGTAGAAGAAGCCCTGCAGCGTCGACTTGGTCTTGAGGCTGAAGCGGATGGACAGCAGGTCGTTGTTGTCCTTGCTCAGAGCCCACGTCTGCGTGCCAACGAGCGCGTCGACGTTGTCCTGCTGCGTCGGCTTGGCGCTCGAGTTGAACTCGATCGTGTAGTTCGTCACGGTCTGCGACGGAGGCTTGTACGTCTTGATCTTGAAGTCCAGCACCACGCCCAGGGAGCTGGCGGCGCCGCGCACGCCCCAGAACAGGTCCGAGTTCTGCTTGGCGTTGGCGTTCACGATAGAACCGTTGGCAAGCGCCACGCGCACAGACTCGATGTTGTCCAGCACCGTGCCGCTGGCGCGCGAGAGGGTGCCGAAGCCAGAAGCGGCCACACCAGTCATGCCGACGTCGGGGCAACGGCCGTGGGGGAGGGTGCGCTTGGCCTTGCTCCACATGTAGTTGGCGGCCTCCGAGATCATGACGGGGCCGCCGTACGACAGCAGGCCAGTGGACGCGTCGTACTCGAGGTGCTTGAGGTGCTTGAGGTTCATGATGAGAGCACCGTCGTTGCGGCCGAAGCCCATGCTCGAGAACGAGCGGTTGCCGCCTAGCGTCGTCACCTTCACGCCGGCGTCGGCGGCGCACTTGAGCGCGGCCGACACCTCCTCCTCGTTCTTGGGGAAGGCAACGGCCGACGGCACGGGGCTCACACGCGAGTTCCACGCCTCCGTGTCAGCCTTCCAGGTCGACGTCGTGGGCAACGAGTTCTCGATGCCGGCCTTGTCGAGGCACGCGCCGACGTCAGTCTGAGTCGCGCCAGCGGCAGCAAAGCCGCCCTGAGCGGCGATGAGGGAACAAACAGCGAAGATCGCGCGACTGGTGCCGGAGATCGAGACCATGGTTCGTTCGTCTGGAGCTCGAGTTTCTGGTTGAAGACTTGAGTGCTAGGCGGCAAATGTAGGAGTGAGTGATTAACTGGAGAGCGGGATCATGTCAACGCAGCTCCTCGACCACTTAGCGTCCGTCCCTGGAAGAGCCACCGCGAGAACGGAGAGCTCGGCGCAATAATCGCCAGCTGTGGACTTTCAATCGTGAAATCGTACGCTGTGTATACGGCTGCTAACATGCGAGCACCGAGTCCGAAGTCCAACCTGGCCGAGCCGAGCATTCCAGCGGGTCGAGCCTAGGATCGTGAAACCGCGTCTCTCTCGCGACAGCGACAGCGACACCACGAGCGCATTAATCCACGCGTGTATTAACGCAGCATCTGCTAACCTGGATGAACGCGACCCTATTTTCCCAACACCGCTCGTTCTTCAGCAGCCCCCGACGGCTCCGCACCTGTTTTCAACGAATTCTTCGTCATGGTCTATCATACAAATTGATGCGTTGGTGCCTGCCGCCCGCAGCGACAAGGAGGAAGCGTATGCCAGCCTTCTTACCGTAAACGATAGGGAGCATGGCGGCCATGCGTTTGGATACCAACCCGCGATGGGGATGTAGGGGAGGCGCACAGCTTCGATGAAGAATCTCCATTGGAGATCGAGTCGAGTCTCGAGGAGGACAGTCTCGATACGGTAACCTACGTCTGTGTAATGAACTCGATATGTGGTATGGATACTTACGACACTTTACCAAAGGAGAAAGACAACGTGTAAGGCTAGGCTTTCACCTGCTTAGTCGGCTACACTCGTTGGTTCGAGATCTGAGCGTTTGCGTCTTGTGGCGTTGTGCCAGAAGGGATCTGTCTGCAACCTGCAATAGGTATTGCATGTAGACATCGCGGGTGTGCAAATGAGGTTGTCTCGAGTCAATGGCCACGTACACAATACTTGTATCATCAACTACACAGGAGCACTGCAGAGTCCACTTTCCACTTCCTTCTGCGTTGGCCACTCCAGAAGCGGTAAGCGTCTTGAGCCCTACGGCAACCTTGTGGACGACGTCTAGGCCGACAACGCTGGGATTGCCTGTGGATCCGTGTTGAACATTTCGTTCGGGTCGTACGCAGTCTTGATCTTCTACAGACGCTCGAAGTTGCCGCCCCCGTAGAGGATCTTGGCAGTCTCGTCGATCGTCCAGCGCTCGTCACGGTACGTAATGAGGGCGCCAGGGGTTCCGCCGGCCGCCTTGTACGCGTCCACGAACTTGTAGAAGTTACCGCGCATGGTAGTGATGCTGTTATCAGCAAAGGTGATGTTGTACGCCTTTGAGCGGAGGTCGTAGCGAACAAGGAGCAGGTTGTTGTCGTGCTTCCAGGCCGAGGTGTCGCCCTTGATCGTCTTCGTGAACTCGCCTCCCCACACGTCAATGAACCCGGACGCGGTGGAGTCGGGCAACTTGGGGGCGTACGCGGTGTTGGAGTACAGCGCCCAAGCCGTGGAGTTGTCGAGCGGAACGTCGTTGCGGCCTGTCATGGACGTGATCTAGAAGTACATACGAGGCGACATGCCCTTGGTACTGATACCCGCGGTCGTGATCTCCTCGGAGGCCCAGAAGTCGAACTCGTTCTTCTTGAGCACCATGCTCGGGGGCAGGTTCTTCATCAAAGAGCCCAACACAGCAGTGGCTTCGTCCGTGGAGCCGTAGAAGAAGCCCGACATGTAGGTGTTAGTCTTGAAGAAGTAGCGGATCGAGAGGCGGTCGTCGTTGTCCTTGCTCAGAGCCCACTTCTGCGTGCCCAGCAGGGCGTCCACGTTGTCCTGCTGAGTGGGGGTGTACGTCTCGTTGAAGGTGATGGAGTAAGCGATCTGCCCTTCTGCAGCTACCGTCCGCACCTTGTCCGAGTCCGCGGCTCTGCAGCGCCGGGGTCCTCGGCGGCTAGCAACGCCAATTCGTCACCTATACAAATATACACCGCTCCACGCGATATCCGACACGCACAACGCCTTGCACGTCGCCAATCCCAGGTGCTCGCACGTGATCCTCGACCCCTCCGCTTCTTATCGGGCCCAGGTAGGCGATAGCTGACTGGAGCTGTCCCTCTGTGAACTGTGCCCACGTGCGCGCACAACTCGCGGGTTCTCCCTTCCGGCGGATGTGTCCGCGGGGTACTGGTCGTCGATGGACGCACGTGTGCACTGTGACTCTGTGTGCACGCTGCTCGTCACCTCGGACCGGGCTCTTCACTTCGACTGCACTTTGACCTTAGTCGACTTGCTACCACCAACTGCTTCGTGTATTGACGTTACACTCTGCTTGGCTCTACTGTATGGGTTAATCTGTACCCTACAGCGCTATTTCGATACGGACTACACTTTTACTGCAATCACTTGGTGGCGTGGGCGCCATGGGTGCCGGCCAACGGCTTCTGACCAGCACACCTTGGCCAATCGTCCGTCTTGGTCGTTGCCTTGGGTGAGGTGGCACGTCGGCGAGTTTCCAACGTTGCCTCGCTCACCCCTTCGTTCTTCCACGCCCCTTGTGTGCTATCCTCGATGTCATGCTCTCTTCGACTCTTCCTCCGCTTGTTCACCCCGTCGCCGCCGCCGTCTTGACTGCTGCTTGCTATCTTTCGCCGCCGCTTCGGATATCTTTACCAGTACTTGCGTACCCTCCTTGCGTCGTCCGTCCTCGATCCTGTTCCTGTTGTAGTCCTTGCTGCTGGGTCGTCTCTCCTTGAAGCTCTGTTGGTCCTTGGAAGCATCCTGGCACTCAGAGCCTTGGCTACAGTTGCTGCGCGTCGCTCGTTGCACTTTGACGATGGTCATCACGTACACTAGCTACTTCGTGCACGTGACTGGTACTCGCTAATAGCCTTCTCAGCGCAGCCTTCTCAGCAACAGATGCCACTTTGCGCCACTAGATATCGACTCGGTGCTTACTATGGTGTAGTTGGTCACGCGCTGAGACGGAGGCTCCAGCGTCGTCATCTTGAACTGCAGCACGACGCCCATGGAGCTGGCGGCGCCACGCACGCCCCAGAACAGATGGGAATTGTGCTCGGCATCGGCGTCCACGATGCTGCCGTTGGCGAGAGCCACGCGCACGCCGACGATGTTGTCCAGCACAGTTCCGCGGTGACGCGAAAGCGTGGCGAATCCGGACGAAGCAATGCCCGTCATGCCGACGTCAGCGCAGCGGCCGTGAGGCAGAGTTCGCTTGTGGTCATTCCACATAAGACTGGCAATCACGGGGTCTCCGTAGGTTAGTGTGAGCAGCCGCAGTGACGTGCTGCTCAGAACGCTCGTGCTGCTCTCCGAGACCAGCAGCACGGCTGCATGTTTGACGTTTACCAGGCTTCAGGTGAGAAGCCTTGGCACATGCTTGATGTTGATGTTGAAGTAGGATTAGTTTGCTAGGAGAACTACGAAGAGATCTAGGAGAACGAAGAGCGTAGATAAACCTTCAGGCAGCTAATTCAAAAGTCAGTTGTGGATTTACACTCAAGAGCTCAAGACATTCAACAGCTACGTGACAGTTAGCAGCTTGGTCGACTCGTCGTACTTGAGCACCTTCATGTTCTTGAGGTTGATGATCAGAGTTCCGTCGTTACGGCCAAAGCCCATGCTGTGGTGGGCACCGAGTTCTCGATACTGGCCTTGGTCAGGCAGAAGCCGAGGTCAGCAGACCCGGCAGCGGATGCAAGACCGCTTTGAGCAGCGATGAGCGAGCACAGCGCGAGTCCCACACTGGCGAATGACGCGACCATGATACACGCATTGAGTTGCTTGGCGTCTTGACGGCAAATGCGGAAGTGACTCAGTTTACAAGTTGGTTTCAAATGTGCTCAAGCTCGGCGGAAGCAGCTTACGATAGACCGCAGCTGTGTCACGGAGGTATCCATGCTCACAGTGTACAGTAACAACAACACCATCTGCGGATCGTGATATTGTCTTGAGTGTCGCTACTTCCAAGCTCTGGGCCTTTTACCCAGGAGCAACTCTACTGTACGGTAAGGATGAATATAGTGGTCTTTCCGACAGATAAGAGACCAGGATTGTTTCATGGTCGTCTCTATAGAAATAACAGCCTATCATATTCTGACTTGGAGTAATTTCAGCCAATAAAATCAACTAGGGGTAGGGAAATCCTTTCCGACACTTCCCTACATATATTTGTCGGAATCCTAGGCTGAATATGTATATAATCATACTGAAACCCAGTACAAAAAATATTTTCAAAATATTTTGGCGATTCAGACAACTAGGCAAATTCCTACTGTAGGCATAACTTATTCTAGGTAGCGAGACACCGGTGGACAGCCACCAGTGTCAATATTGCATAACGAAAGTGTCCTCGCGGTCATCATGAGCCTCTCTGTGTTTGTACCCAAAAGGCGCGAACGACGGCGATTAACGCGTTCGAGAGAATGCTAGAGGTCGAGGGTGTGAGCATGGAATTGTTTCGTGCAAGCATGCATACAGACCCCTCGGGCAAACGCTTGGCTGCCACAATGGACCGCTTCGGCTACTATTTCGCCACTAATAACGGTAAGAAAGGTAAGCTAGCTCGTAACACAGCTACATCGTACTATAAAAACGTCAAGCTGTGGCTATTTAACGAGTTTCCACACCTGCGTTTACCCACGGAGATGAACTTGTTAAAACAAGGGAAAACTCTAGATAAGCACTGCTTAAAACGTGAGAAAGGAGGACTCGTTAACAAAGCGCCGCCATGTACTAAAGAGGACTTAGGTTCTCTAATTCGCTATGTCTACAGCACAGCACGTGTCAACTCGGACTATCAAGATGCTGCGCTAGCCTGCCTCAAGTGGCACTGCTTCGGCCGCTCGTCGGACCTAGGCTACCTGCGCAAGCAACATGTGTCAGTGTCAGCGGACGGCGTCTTCTACCTGCGGCTCCTCCGCGTTAAAACGGCTGAAGAACAAGGGTTAACGCTCATACCTGACAAGGAGGACTTCCTGACATGCCCGCCTCTGTGGTATCGGAAAATGGAGATTACCGGAGCGATTGCCCGTCGCCCAAGAATCAAGGTACAATGATCAAGGAGCAGTCAAGCGCGAGATGTAAGTGGCTGCTTTGGTTAAGCTGGCGACATTATCCTCGTTGGAGTGACAGGTAGTGGCCGGAGCCTCGTCGGGTCCTAATACAACCCCGAACGAGGCTTCATGGTACCCACTTTTAGGTACAGATGCATTTAGTTACGTACTTCGGCCGCACTTATTAGTGTAGCCGCGGTCGTCATTTGATGTGTCCGGAATCGCCTTATTGCGATCGTTCACACTAGATATTTGTATAGGGACATAGGACGCATCATAGGATGGCCAGAACGAGCCCCCCAGGGCCTCAGAAAACTCAGTAGTAAAAAGACAGTCTTCCCCCTAAGCCAACAAGGGTCAAGTCCGACTTCGGTAAATGTAGCTAGCTTATTGTAGTGCCTGGACACGCTCGGCTGCGTGTGGATGCCTGTCGGGGAGCTTATCGTGCATTGACCGAGAGTTTCCTTGGCAGCGCCAAGAGTTGGTGTGGTCGGAGAGGCAGGAACGGTATTAGAGTATCGTTCAGTATATATTTGTGGGATTAGAGTGTCCCTGAGTGTATTAGTCTACCTACCGAGGTTTTACCTTGGTCCCCCTGTATAAGGCCTAACACGCCGGTACCCTTCCTTCCTGAGGGACTGCAGTGGGGTTGCGCGAAAGCGCTACATAGTATCCTAGCCTTAGCTCGTGGCTAGCGGTACAGGTTTTTGGGTTGACCGAAGATAACCTAAGGTGCACAGAGGCGCTTGCAACCGACCCGGTGTAAGGGATCGTTCCTGGCCTTCAGGTTTTGATCCAATAAGCGCTTACCTTTGCGGGTTAGCGTGTTGTTGGTGTCTCTAATACCTTTTGGTAGAAGAGAATTTTAGTGGTATTACCACACCACACTTCACTCGCTCGCGGTAGCTCTCGTCATGCAGGCCGCGCCCTGCGCGGCTCTGTTAAGCCAGCTCCCTGAGCTTGTTGCGACGAGCGAGAAGCCGCTAGACCCCGGTGTGCCACTGCAGGCCTTGCTAGAAGCAGTGCCAGCTACGCTCAGGGTCGCCCTGATGCCACCCTCGCCTGCTGTCGCCGCTCCCGTTCCCGCGCCAAGTCCCGTGCCAAGCTGCACCTCAAGTCCCCAACCTGCAAGCACAGAAGCGCGAGTGAGTAGTACAACGAAGGCCAGCGCTGGGGAGAAGACGCGCGGTGAAGACGGTGTTCAGTCGTATGTCAACCGCCTCCTCAAGCGCGTTGCCGAGCCCGCGGGAGCCACGACCGACTTGACTTCCCACTCCTTCCGACGCGGCGGCGCTCAGCACGCTAACGGAGACGATCGCCTTGCCACTCAGTGGATCTTCGACCGCGGTGCATGGGAGATGGGCAAGGTCAACAAAGGGTTCGCCTACGTGTACAACACGCCGCGGGAAGACCGGAAGGTTGCGCGAGTGCTGAGCGGTTGGGAGGCCGACGCAGCTCCTGTTGTCCTTGATGCTGCGGCGCTGGATCATGGAGCTCAAGAGCGTCTGGCATCCTTGCGCGAATTCCTGTTCAGCACCTGTACTGGACTCAAGGAACACAGCCTCAACGTAAGCAGCAAGGACCTCACCGTCCTCACGGCATACCTGGTCCGCTACTACCCGCAGCTAAAGGCGCTGGCTCCGGATGCCCCGATTGTTGAGCGCGTGGAAGAGTGCTTGGCCTCCGCGGGGATCTCGACAGCTGACGTGCTCGCATTGTCGGTTGCGCTCAACAAACAAGCTTCACCTGCTGAACCTGTTGCAGAACAAGCACACGAATCCAAGACGCACTCATGCCAAGTCCATCATCATCTTCTAGCTGTCATTGATGAGCTTATCGCCTCGAACCGAGCCCTCTCCGCGCGTCTTACAATCGTGGAGGCTGCGCAACTAAAGTGTAAGCGAGAACAAGTACCCGATGAGGAGCCACAGGCACAAGATACGTCAGATCAAGAGCTAAAACCCAAGCGCAGAAAGAAAGCAACGACCAACCTGTCCAGCGCGTGGTTCGAATGGTACACGCGGGTGCCACGCGTCTGGGACTCCGCCGACCGCCAGAAGAAGTCCGAGTTTCGCCACGCCACGGCGTTCATGAAGCTCTTCTTGAGCGAAGGCTTCACGCTGGACCCCAAGGCGCCGGACTACAAGGATCAAGTCCTGGACGCTGGTCGTCGGGCTGAGAAAGCCGTGCTCGCCTTCCTGAAGTCGCGCAACGTCAACGCCAAGGGGGCTGTGATGGAAGGTATGGATCTTGGACACGAAGCTTGGACGAAGCGGAGGGAGGGACGTCGCAGACGGCGGGACCGGAGCGAAGGCACTTGAGGGGTAGAATGAAGATTCGAAAGTGATTGAATTGTTGGAGCTTACACCCTACTGTTATAGACACGCGACCCTGCGTCCTATCACCTAGTGCATCTAATCAACCATCACTCACCGGTGTTCATCCAATCATCCTACTCGTCTAATCATCGGTGGCGTAAACAACTTACCGTAATCACCATAATCAACGTGGGTTCGGATTGGACCGGTTCGGGTTAACCGGTTAATGGGTACAACTGGTACACAGTACCCAAGACCAGCAACCCTCAATACGCCCCCTCAATGCGAAGTCCCACGAATGCCGAGAGCCACCGTCAGATCCGTGTGGCGTGGTCCCGCAAGCGCCTTCATCATGATGTTCGCTAGCATCACAGAAGTCTCGCAGTACTGGAGCTTGACTTCGCCGCGCTTGACTTCATCGCGGATGTGGTGGTACTTGATGTCGATGTGCTTGGCGCGACCGTGGTTCACTGGGTTCTTCGTCATCTTGATGCACGACTGGTTGTCTTCGCGGATCATGAGTTCGGGTCCAGTCTCATTAGCGGCCGCCAGAATCTCGCATAGCAGGCGATGAATCCACTTGCCTTCTTGGATAGCCAGACTGAGCGCGATGTACTCCGCTTCGCTGGTGGACAGCGACACACTTGATTGCTTCTTGCTTCCCCAGCTCACAGGCGCACTCATGAGCATGAACGTGTAGCCTGAAGTGGACTTGCGGTCGGCGAGGTCGCCGGCCCAGTCCGCGTCCGAGTAGCCACGAAAGTCGATCTTGTCGCCCGGCTTGAAGCAGATCCCATGCGTCTTGGTTCCTTGCAGGTAGCGAAAGATACGCTTGACCGCAACCCAGTGTTCCTCTTGGGGGTTCTCCATGAAGCGCGATACATAGCCAACGGCGTACGCGATGTCTGGGCGCGTGGCGGTCATCAGGTGCATCAGAGCACCAACAGCTTCGCGAAACGGAGCGTTCACCTTGGTCGCCGCGTCGCTTGGGACCAGTCGAGTGCTCATGTCCACCGGACTCACCACGGCCTTGCACTCGTCCATGGCGAAGCGCTTCAGGATGTCGTATCGCCGCTGGCACATGGTCACGCTGCCGTCCGGGCCGTCCACCAACTCGATCCCAAGAACAAACGCGCACTTGCCGCTGTCGGTCATCTCGAAGCGCGTCTTCAGGTCGGTCTTCGTGCGTGCGATCAGCTCGGGCGAACTCCCGGTAATCAGTACGTCATCCACGTACACCAGTACAAGCACGCAGTGACCGTCCACCACCTTGATGTAGGGGCACGGATCGAAAGCCGACACTTGGAAGCCGATGGAGCACACGAACTCGTCGAAGGTCTCGGTCCACCCTCGCGAAGCTTGCTTGAGACCGTAGATGGCCTTCACCAGTTCCAGGCAGTCGAAGTCACCATCCAGTTCGACGCCTTCCGGAACCACGCAGAAGACCACCTCCTTCATTATCCCGTACAGGAATGCTGTCACCACGTCGAGTTGGTCGAGGGGCCAGCCAAAATACTTAGCAATCGCGATCACCATGCGCAGTGTCACATACTTGACCACGGGCGAGAACGTCTCGGTGTAGTCAATGCCGTACTTCTGCTTGAAGCCCTTGGCCACGAGGCGCGCCTTGTACTTCTCGATCGAGCCGTCCGCTTTGCGCTTGATCTTGAACACCCACTTGGTATCGATGGCGCGTTGTCCGTTAGGCAACTTGGCAGCTCGAAACACACCACGCAGTCGCATCGACTTGAGCTCCGCGCGGATCGCTTTGCGCCAGTGCACTTGATCCGGACCGTTCACAGCCTCTTGGAACGTCGTCGGCTCCGATAGATCGGCTGCTGCTTCCACAGCGTTGCCACTGGCACGCCAAAACACTGGAGGCGTCGAGTCGTCGTCTTCATCTTGGTCCCCAGACTTTTCTTCTTCGTCGGGGTCGGCTCGGCGCGAGGAGGATACGTCCGGCGCACTTGCTTCTTCTAAGCCAGCTCGGTGGCGAACGGGGCGCGATCTTCTGGCAGTGTTGTCGTCGCCACTCGGTCGGTACTTGCGCTTCCCCGCCTGCTTGAAGCTCGTTTGGCGCGGTCCATCGTTGTCGTCCAGGTCCAGCGCGTCCAAGTCTAGCACAGCATCATCGACGTCTTCATCCGAAGTATGCGTCGAAAGTCCAAAGGTCGACTCATCGAAGTTGACATCGCGACTGATAACCACCTGCCCCGCCTCGATGTCATAAACTCGATACGCCTTGGACACTTCTTCGTAGCCGAGGAACAGCCCGGCGCGAGCCTTGGGGTCCCACTTGCGCCGTCTTTCCTTCGGCGTCAGGATGTACGTCTGGCATCCGAACACACGCATGTGCTTCACACTCGGCTTGGACTTGTAAACGATCTCGAACGGAGTCTTGTGTTCGATCTTGGGTGATGGTAGACGATTCTTCACGTAGATGGCTGTCATGGCCGCCTCAGCCCAGAAGCTCTTGTCCAGCTTGGCGTGATGCAGCATGCTGCGGCCAATCGTGACGATGGTCCGGATGGCGCGTTCTGCCGTGCCGTTGGTCTGGTGCGCGTACGGAACCGTGGTTTGCTGCTCGATGCCTTCGACTTCGTAGAAGGTCTTGAGCGAGTTGGTCGCGAACTCACGGGCTCCGTCGTGCCGCACAAACTTGACCTTCTTGCCGAACTGCGTCTGCACCTTCGTGACGTACATCTTGAAGCAGTCCTCGCTCTCCGACTTGGCACGCAGGCAGAACCCCTTCATGCATCCGCTGGATTCGTCCACGATCAGCAGCAGATACTTGCTGCCACCCAGTGACTCTTCTTCCATGGGGTCGCACACGTCGAAGTGGAGCAGCTCGAACGTGTCGTAGTGACGCTTGTCACGGTTGCTTGGGAACGGCTTCTGGACCATTTTCCCTTGCTGGCAGCCGCGACACACGCTTGGTCCACTCGACTTGGAAGGTGCCTTCGCGTCCTTGATCATGTTGTTGTCGACCATCTTGCGAAGCACCTCCACCGGAGCGTGACCCATACGCGCGTGTAAGTCGACCGTCTTCCCACTGGTCGCCGCATTCGCCGATCGCTGAGGCGTCTGGAGCCAGTAGAGTCCATCCACGAGGTTTGCCGTCGCCACCACTTGCTTGGAGCCCTTGTGCGCAATCTGCATCTTGGTGCTGTCGAACACGACTTGGAACAGACCACTCTTGTTGATCTGTGGCACCGAAAGCAGATTCTTGCTCATGCTTGGGACGTACAGCGCGTTCTTGATCTCGATGTCGCGCTCGTCGCCGTTGGGCAGAACCACTCGTTCCACGATGGTCCCCACACCCATGATGGCCGCCTTGTTGCCGTCGGCCACCGAAAGTTCGCCTTCATTCCGCTCAATCAAATGAGCGAACTTGGCCTTGTCGTTGCAGATGTGGTGCGTTGCGCCGCTGTCGACCGCCCACAACCCGGACACATTCTTGCCCGTCGAAATGCCACACTCCAGTGAGACCGCGAACGCCACTCGATCATAGCCGTAGTCGTAGTTGTAGCTGGCGTCGTCGTTCCTCCACTGGGCATTGTTGGCCCCGCGTCCACGGCCATTGCCATTGCCGCCGCGTCTTGGGCCCCGATTCTCGTCCTTCTGCTTGGTCCAGCACTTGTCAATCGTGTGCCCCAATTTCCCGCAGTACGTACACTGGCGAGACTCTCGGTCGGTGTTGAACGCCTTGGCCGCATTCTCCGTCTTCACCGTCGTCGTCTTCTCGCCTTGTCTCTTGATGTGCTCATTCGTCAGCACCTTCACGACGTCTTGCGATCGTAGTTCAGCGCTGCTCATCTCCAAGTTCAGCACGACGTTCTCGTAGCTCTTGGGGAGGCTGCGCAACAGGCAGATCGCCACGTCCTCATCCTCCATCTTGGCGCCGATGCTGCTGAGCTTGGCGCTGATGTTGAGGACCTCGTTGCAATGATGCAAGACGTTGCCGCCTTCCGACATCTCCATGCTGAAGAGTTGGCGCTTCAGGTAGATGCGTCCAGCCTTCTGCGAACCACCGTACAGCGTCTTCAGGCGCGTCCACGCAACCCACGCTTCCTCGCAGTCGTCGACCACATGGTGGTAGTCCGCGTCCATGTGGAGCAACATCAGTCCGAACGCGATGTTGCTCGACTTGACGTAGTCGTCCTTGGCCCGCGAGTCCGTGAAGCTCGGCGTCGTCTCGCGGTTCACGACATGCCACGTCGACTTGGTCAGGAACACGCCACGCATGTAGCGGTTCCACGTCGCGTAGTTGTCCCCGTTGAACTTGTCAATGGAGACCTTGGTCGAGGCGTCTTGGGCAGAGGACATGGTGCTTGGCCTCATAACCTGATGGAAGGTATGGATCTTGGACACGAAGCTCGGACGAAGCGGAGGGAGGGACGTCGCAGACGGCGGGACCGGAGCGAAGGCACTTGAGGGGTAGAATGAAGATTCGAAAGTGATTGAATTGTTGGAGCTTACACCCTACTGTTATAGACACGCGACCCTGCGTCCTATCACCTAGTGCATCTAATCAACCATCACTCACCGGTGTTCATCCAATCATCCTACTCGTCTAATCATCGGTGGCGTAAACAACTTACCGTAATCACCATAATCAACGTGGGTTCGGATTGGGCAGGTTCGGGTTAACCGGTTAATGGGTACAACTGGTACACAGTACCCAAGACCAGCAACCCTCAATAGGCTGGAAGCGTCTTGCGTGCGCTGCGCCCACTGCACAAGAATGGTGTCTTGGACGAGCGCATTGCCGCATACAAGACGCTACGCGCTGTCGGTAGAATCGTTGATCCTGCGCCTACAGAGACACAAGACGTCTTAGCCACTGCAGGTCACGTCTAAGAAGGTAAGATAACACCGCTACTTCACAAACGCATTCATGCACCAGCACTACCGGCACAACACGCACACACGCCTCACCAACCACGCACACAGGAGGAACAGCAGCCGAGGCACGCCGCAGCAGCGAGGCAGAGAAGAAGGGTCACGCAGGACGAGCAGCCGTCGCAAGCCCGGTGCGGTAGCAGCACGACGCAGCAGCAGCACGGCGCAGCAGTCGGAGACCCGAAACGGCAGCACCGAGTCACCGCACGACGTAACCCCAACGCCAATCTTGATCGATAACACCGGCCTGAATTGAACAGGCACCTCAGGGCCGAAGCCCTGCGCTCTATCCATTGAGCTACGGTGTTGGGGCCCAGGGGAGGGAGGCGGAGGGAGGGGGGGCTGCGACTGGCTGATTGGCTGGCCGGCAAAGCTGTCGAGGCTGACGGGGCTGAATCTTGGTCCGGAGGCTTGATCCCGAGCTCTGAAAAAAGAAGACTGAGGGCGCGCGCCGTGTGTCGGCGACTGGCAGCCACCAATTTTCGTTTGGACAGGCGGCGAATGCTGATTGGCTGAAGGCTGTACCAATCAACACTCTTTATTGCTTAAAGGCCCTGATTGGCCAATGAATTAGCCAATGATATGCCGGGGGGGATAGCTACCGCCGGAATGCTTCTAATTGTGGCCCCTCTACCTGGGTGCCGGCCTCACTAATGAATTTGCTGGCTCCTGTGCACATTGCTCCGGGGCCAAAATGCGCCAATACACAAAATGTCGATTTTCTCGGCCCAGAGGCCTCTAGAGGCGATTTCCTCGCGGCTGTGAGCACCGCATGAAAGCTGACTTGAATCGGTCAAGTGGCCCGCTAGACCTACTCTACCGTACACATGATCTAATTTCCGATTTTACATTAATTCCGATTTTGCCCTGGCTTTGACAAACTTCCTAGTTGTCGGAATATGTAGGGATGTCGGAACGGCCGTGATATGGTATCATACTGTGGGGATAAGATGAGGAGCGCTGCTTGCCTCTCCTACAAACTTCAGGCTCCCATCACAATTTTCGATCTGGAAGAAGCTGTGCCGGATAGGCGGCTATCATAGACTGCGTTACGCCAAGGCACAAGTGGATGAAGAAGTCACCTCTGATGACCCGACTTCTTCCCTATATGCGAAGGTTAGTTTCGATTGGAAACCAATACTGTATTGTGTATATAGTTTGGAATCTGCCATCGGAACCCTGACAATCTTCGCTGTGAAGAACTTTGCCCCTGGGCGCTCTGCGAGGTTCACCTTGAAGTTCGATCGATCACCGGAATACCGGTGATTCAGCTTGTGTACACCACATCAAGCAACTCCGCCTGTAAATGGACGAGGTGTCCCGCATCCTGCGCTGCGGCTCGCACTATGAGGTGCTCAAGCTGGCCGAGCCTGGCGCCGTCGCCGTCTTCGTGGCTGTGCAGCAAGTTCGTCGGCGCTACAAGGAGCTGGCGATTCTCGTGCATCCGGACAAGAACCGGGCTCCAGGTACTGTATGGCAAAAGCTATCCGAAAGGTATGCACTGTAGTGGCACTGACTTCTGTGCATTTAGATGCCGAGGCGGTGTTCAAGCGGCTGAGTGAAGCCTACGAGTGTCTCGCAGACGAGGACTCCCAACGAAGTTACTTGCAAAAGTTACAGCAGCCAACTGCTTCCAGAGCTGGCGTCAGGTCTCCGAAGCCAGCCAGACCAAAGTACAAGAACAAGCGGAAGCGCAAGGCCCCGGAGCCGCCAACTGCAGCACAAGCAAAGGAACCGCTGTCCACTAAGCGACGAAGCACGCCAGAAGAAGTCTGGCAGCAGTTCCAGCGTGAAGAGGAGGAGCTGGCGCGGCGAGAGTTCCATGCAAAGGGGTTCGAGAGAGTCTACGACTCGGCATCCAAGCGAGCTGCTAAGACCAGTGGGGCCGATGATAGTTCTGCTCCTCCGCACACTCTTCCTCCGACGGAGCAACGGGATATCCTGGACTCCAATTTGGACGCCAAGGCGAAGAAGTGGGCGACATGGAACAAGCCGAATTTGACGCAGGCAGAGTCACCGCCGGTGGCAGCAACAGACGAAGGGGGCTCTGGATCTGTTGAGGAAAGTGAGGCGCCAGTGATTTTGATATGCTGTTTGTTGTGTCGACGGAAGTTTCCGACCGCGGAAGCTCTTGGTCGGCATGAAGCTTTGTCCAAGTTGCACGCGGCGAACCTGCAGGCTCAGCGGGCGCGCAGCTCAGGCGATGGTCCATAGTTTGATGACGTTGTCCTGCCCAGCTGTGATTAACGCGCCTGTGTGGATCCAGCGAGTGCACGTGATGAAGCTGTGCTGGGTTTCGAAGACCAGCACCATGCACATCCGAGACGTGTCGACAACGTACAGAACTTCCTCCGAGCTGCAGGCCACTAAATCTCCACAAACTTGGAGTGAGGAAATCCACTTGGTGGCTAATTGTAACACGGCCGGAGCTTTCCTGGCAGTTGGACGGTGCAAATTGCTATACAAAAGCAGTCGGCCGTCCTTGGTGGAGCAGAGCAGCCGGCCATTTGAGAGCGCTGCTGCAGCGTACACCGGGGAGCCGACATTGTCAAGTCGACCCAGGTGTGCGAAGGTTTTCGAGCTGAAGAGCTGGATAGTGCCATCATTTGATCCAGTGACTACCACCGAAGACAGCTCCGCATTTGTTCGGCTGGAGGAAACACTGGCGGTGTCTCTGCTGTTGCCCAGGTCAATGATGCACTGCACTGTGGTCTTGTGGGCGTAATATATCCTGGCACACGCCACGCGCTGGTCCGGCGAATGCTCAGGATTGGAGATGTCAGAGCTGAGATCCCAAAAGCAAACGGAGCCGTCCGCTGCCCCTGAACAGAGATGATCGGGCTGGACTTCGAAGCAAGTTACCCGCGAGTGGTGGGCGCGGAGTTCGCAGACACACTGCCCGAGCTCAGCATTCCACAGACGCAGCGTGTAGTCGTCGGAGCAGCTGATGATGTGGCAAGGAAGAGCTGACGGCAATCGAACTTGAGTTACGTGACCTGAATGGCCCATGAGGATATAGAGAAGGCTGAAGGCGCTAGTCGTGCACTCGTACAGGCGCAGAGTGTTGTCGTGCGACCCTGAAACCAGCCAACGAGCGCTCAAGTCAATGCAGGACACAGCGTCGCGGTGTCCGTAGATGGTGTGAAGGCACTCGAACGTGGCTTGCGACCACACTTTGACCGATCCGTCCACGGAGCACGACACTATGAAGCGATCGTCGTGCGCTATAAGGGCACAAACACTCGCGACGTGCCCCACGAGATGCTCTGGATGGAGCGAGACGAACGGCGCTGAAGCTGATGACCACTCGCTGCTCGAGTTGTTGTAATCTTCAATACCGCCGACGCCTGAACGCGGTGATTGCGTAGCCCGGTGCAGCGATGGTCGACGCGAGCGCGAAGTCAGCCGTGGAGTCATCGGTAGTGCTCTGTGCCATGCAACAACGTCAACTCAAAACTCGATACAAACAAAACCGAGGTAGCAACGACAACAACACTTCGTACCCGCTATCAGCCTGGTTTTCTGTAAGCACCGACATTTTCTGTCCTGTTCGTGGTCGATGGCTTCCTGAGCCGGTTGTACCCGGATCTCTCAACTCGCTCATTTTCGTTGCATCTTTCACCAGATTCTGTGGTTGTTGCGGATTTTCGATACCTTCTCCATTACCACTAACTGCTTCAAGATGGCATCCTTCCATTAGCTGAAGTAATGGATCGCCATCCATTTGCTCTCCAGTGTTCTGCTCCTCGCCATGTTCAGGTCGCGCTTGTTGGCCCCGCTCCTCCTTCTTGGGTGGTTGGCTCTTATCCCGAGTCCTTTCTCCTCCTCTTGTGCCCTCTCTTGGTCTCTGAATTTGCCTCCGAGGAGTAGCAACCGCCTTTTCGTTGTGGTGAGCTCCTCGTTCTGCTCGTTGTCTCGAGCTCAAAGCCCCAGAAGTGGACGGCTGATGCACTTGATGAGTTGCTCGGCGTGGCGACTGCTGCGCGTGCAATCGATCCGCTTCAAGTCGCTTCTCGCGCTCTAGGCGATGCAGCGCGCATGTACACAATGGCGGGTGCACGTCCTTGCGAGACACGCGCGACGGACTGGGCGGCGCGACGCCGAACCACATACGGTCGGGCCGCAGAATGATCAACTGCTGGGCTTCACTTCAACGAGGACACTTTTAGCCCACCCCAATTCCTCGTTCAACGTCATTTCAACTTCAACGTTCACTTGTTTTCGTTTTTTGTGAGCGGAAGTGTCCGTAAGCGTGCGTCACCAAGGTTCTGCATGAACTTCTACTTAAGTATTCAGCATGGAAGTCACGGAGAGTCCTTGGTTTAGAAGCGGTGGATCTACATGTAAACGTCGTCCAGTGATAATATCCTTCCGTCCTCCGATTTCTGCTGGGCTCTACGTGTAGAAGGAAGATCGCTCGAGTACTCGCGCCCGTGTTAGTGCCACGTTAATAAGGAAGTGGCCAGCGATCTATGTCTCCTGCAAGTCTACTACAGTACAACCGCAAAGTTTAATCATGGTGAGGGGCTCGTTGCGAGTTTTCGACATAATCTAGTGTCTAGCAACCAATTCAACACACCATATGTCAAAACCTATTTTCGACACCCTATTATCGACATCCCATACAAACTCCAAGTCCCACGCAACAATTATGGCGGACGATGGTGCGCGTCCTTCCTCCTCCTTTCCCCCTGCGCCGTTGCCCTGCTAACCCCTCCATGTATGCGCCCCCTTAGACAGCGTGATCCGGCGGCGCCTGCTGACGCGCACGAGCACCGTGGGCAAGATGGGTCTCAAGAAGTGCGCCGAGACGATGCTGGGGCTCGTGGAGATGCTGGCGGACGAGGCCGTGGACGACGCCACGTGCCGCGCGGACCTGGACGCGCTCTTCTGGGAGATGGAGCAGCTCGAGTTCGAGGCCAACAAGACGGAGATCTGGAACTACACGTGCGACCGCGAGCTGGAGGAGTACGAGACGCTCAACGCCGAGATCGACACGTCCATCGACAAGGTCGCGCGCGAGATCGAGGAGCTCAAGGCCAAGGTGCACGTGGAGAAGACGGTGCGCGCCTACAAGGAGGAGTACGAGTCCATCGCGCGCGTCATCAACGAGCTGCCGTCGCGCCGGGACATCTCGGCCGAGATCGAGACCCAGCTGCGCCGCCTCGAGGAGGCCACGGCCGCCATCGAGGCCGTGGACGGCAAGCTGGACCTGCGCACCAAGCAGTTCGCGCTGCTGATGAACACGATCCAGAACCTCAAGGCCACGCTGGACGAGGATGCGCTCATGGAGGAGGAAGAAGAGAAGGAGAAGCAGCGCCAGGAGGAGGACGAGGACATGGAGGACGTCGAGCCCAAGCAGACGAACGAGAGCGGTGCGTTGACGGCTTTGGGCTTGTGCTTGCTTTGAGGTTCACAAGGCTGACGGCTGTGTGGTTGTGTTGTATAGGACGGTCTCCTTCGCCCCTATGAGTATTCTAGCGACAGACAGGTGCAGGACGTCCGAGTGGATAATATCAAGAGCTATGATAGCTGCTGTGTATTTTATTCGCACAGAGGGCCAGCGCTCTATTCGTCTGCTAGTCTGCAAATGTCTTCGTATTCTACACGATCCAGGACCTCGCCCTTGTGGGAGCCGGAGTCGATGCGGATGCGCGCGCAGAAGTCGTCCACGGAAATGTCGAGCAGCTTCGCGACGCACCCTCGGCCGAGTCCGTTCACGACTTTGACCTTGCGTCCCGGCTTGGGGATCACGGTCTCCAGGTCATCCTGGTCCAATCGCAGCACGTCTCCAGAGTCGAGCAGCTCCACGGTGGCGCAGAACTTGTCCTCCACATCCTTGACCACGCCCTTGCACTTGTAGTATTGACCGTCGCCCACCTTCTTGTTCACCACCTTGACGACAATGCCCGTGGTGACCCAGTTCTCCTTGCGCTGGCGCTTCGACTCGTCCTCCAGGCGTCGACTCTGCTGCTTCTTGCGGCGCTCTTCCTCCTCCATAATCGCGTCCACCGCGTGTCTCTTCCCAGAGCGTTTGCTGTCGCCCTTATCGCCCCTGTCCTTCTCTCTTCGCTCCTTCTTCTCATCTCCTCTGTCCACCGCCTCAAACACACTCGAAGCAGAATCACCGAGCCCCGCAGCCTTCTTCATGCCGCTCTCCTTCTTGCCAGCAGCCTTCAAGCCAATCGCCATCTTGATCTTCTCCCCGTTCTCTACCCGCTGCAGCTTGGTGGGTCTTTGCTGCGTGCCCGCTGCGCCCTCCTTCTCCTTCTCGCTGGCGATCTTGAGCTGCCTCGCGATGAACTGCCGGTTCCTCTCCTCGTGGTCCAGCTCCGCCTTCTTCTTCTTCTCCAGCTCCTCCTGCCGCGCGATCGCGCGCGGGTCTCTGTCGATGTACTGGATGTGCCAGCCCTTCTCCGTCTCGTCCACCACGCACTTGCCCGTGCGGCCCAGGTACTGCACGAAGCTGCCGAGCGTCTCCCACTGCGTCGCGTTCATGTGGACGTGCATCTTGTCCTGGATGTACTCGTTGTACACGTGCGTGGCGCGCATCCGCTTGGTGCCGTGGCGGCGCCGCAGGTTCTCGAGGAACGCCTCCTCGAAGAGCTCGCTGTAGCCGCTCATGAACTTGTCCGGGTCGTTGGCCACGATGAGCATCTGGCGCTGGTGCGCCTCGGACGTCGTGTGACACTTGAAGCCATTCTCGTCCCGGCACTGCTTCTGACACACCTGGCAGAACCACCGCAGCTTCTGCAGACCTTTAGCCTAGCAGTAGCAATGGATGGAATGGAGTGACACACATGGATGGGTTGGTTTACGGCTTGTATGAAGGGGCAGAGAGAGCGGAGAAATGGGTACAGAGGTGACGGAGGGTCAGGAGGAGACTAGGACGCACCTTCATGCGGATGCCGATGGCTTTGGGCGTCAGGAAGTCGTGCTTCCCCATGGCTAGCGGGCCTGGTGTTTGACTTTTGGGCGGAAATGAAGAACTGTGAAACGGAATGGAGGATGGAAATAAGAGAGGTTAAGCTGGGATGGATACATTTTGTGTATTCAAACATAATAATGTATCCATCTCACGGAATGTTGACCTACCACAAGACGTCGGGATCACTTCAGCCAAAACGAAGACCGCATGGCTCTTAACGTGGTTTACCAATTCATGACCTCTGACCAGTTCATGGACTAAAGCGACTATTATCCAATCCAATCTTCTTATTTGGACTAATATTGCTCTGATTGGCTCAATATTTATTTAACCAGATCTTGGCCCTCACTTTTCCTTACGCTGATTCCGTCAGATATCGAGTCGAGCGTAAGATGAAGGCGGCCTTCACAGACAAGCAGCTAGAAGAAGCTATCGACCGCGTCCTCGCAGAAGAGAAGCTCGCAGCCGTGGCCGACTCGTCACCAGTGTCGTTGTCAACACTAAAGCGTAAGATCGCCGAGCGCATCGAAGGTCGATCTATTGAGCGCCAACGGCCCGGACCTGCCCCCTACTGTCTCCCGAGTGTGAAGCCGATCTAGTGACATGGATCACTGCAATGCAGCGTCGTCTGGTTCCCGTGCAGCCATGGGAAGTTCTCGAGGCTGCTAACGAGCTTCACCACATGATCCACGGGAATCTGCGCTCCGTCAAGGACCCTACTACTAGCTGCTATAACCGCTTCGTCGACCGCCATCCCGAGCTGTCTTTGCGTGCGTCGGAGCCGCTTTCGCGCGCTCGCAATGAGGTCAATGGGGCCGCTATGGGCGCGTTGTTCTACGAGCTGACGAAGCTGGTCATCGAGCACGATATTGATAGCAGTCGTGTGTGGAATATGGATGAAACCAGCTTCGTCAGCAAGCACCAGTCAAGCTCCGTGTTGGCTGTTCGTGGATCGTCGAATGTGTGGTCGAAAGCATGTGTGAGACTTTGTATGAGATCGCGTTGGTCCAACATCTGGTCAGTGCGTCATAAAAAAATAAATTTCCGCTGTGTTTGCTTCGCTGTTGCTTGCTCACATTTGCTCATAAATTGGTGCGAGGACCCTCAAAATTAAGCGTGCCGACTGCTTGTATAAATGCTAGCGTTGTAGCATGGCTGCTCTAATATTGATGTCGTCATCGACGATTTCGCATGAGGTGCTGCTGGCGGGTCATGAATTGGTAAACCACGTTAGTTGTTCGTTCTCCAGTAAGCGGAAAAGTCGAGGTACGTCTGGTAGTTTTTGTGCAAGTACGCTTGCTGGCCAAGACCCTCCAGTCCCAGCTTCTTGTACATTTTCTTGGGGTCCATGCCTTTCTTGAGCCACTTCCAGAACTTGAGCTTCTCCCCAAGGCCTCTTTCCTCCTTTTCGTCACTCTCATCCAGCGCGTCGTGGGCCCTCAGCGATCGCTTGACGACATCGTCATTTCGGACGGCAGCAGCGAGCCAGGACTGGAGCGTCACCGTTAGAAATCGAAGCCTGCTGAGGCGAGGCGGTTATCGTCCAGGGTGTATAGCGTACGTCCGGTAGGCTTAGACCTGGGAGGGTTTAGCTTACGGAAACCCGAAACTCACAATGAATATAAGCTCCGGTTGACGTGTGACCTTGTGCAATCCCTATAGGTGTCGTTTATCTTCGGCGGACCGCGTTTCAATCTTGGGAATCGCAATTGATCAAAGATACAGGAATGCAGAGAACTTCCGGGCGCTACTCGTTCCGGGAGTCCTGAATGGGAGTGAGATCACTAGCAAATACCTTCTCCAAAATAACCAATATCAATACAGAGTCTGTACACACAATATGCAGCCTGTCAATTTTAGGTTGCACCCCGAATACAGGTAAATTCGGGATGTCCCACGCGCACCACTCCTGAATGTCAGGAGAACAATACAGGTACCTTCCTACCACACGCAATCTACAATCGGGTCCTAGGGGGCGATTGCCACAACCTCCTAAAACACAGGGAATATGAAATGCAAGCGCACACTGAGAGTGCACGCCACAACTGGGAAATGAAACAGGTGTATCGACCCGAGAGGGCAATACTTTTGGGTACCTGACTTGGCTTGATGATGTAGTGAGAAGTTTTCGAGGGCCTTGGACCAGGCGTTACTCAACGCTCGCAGCGTTGCTCGGAATGGTACACCCTCTCGTGGGCTCCTAGGCGGTACACTCTCCCGTGGGCGGCGGCTGTCCTTAGGCGAATCACGAACCAGGCACTTGTGCACTTGAACGCAAAACAAACTCTGTTGATCTTTATCCTCTTCTCTCTCTCTTTGGCTATTTCTCTTCTCTTTTGTATCTCTCTCTTCTTCGTAGACACATCGAACTCAGACTGGGCTCACTCTCCATAGTGAAACCAAGTCACGCTCGGAACTGGCACCTTGGTTGCTGACTTCGCTGACTTGGCACGTTCCTGGGCGTTTGTCCATTGGCAGATATCTACAGTGTCTTGGGGCTTCTCCATTCAGGGCAGTCATGGTCCATTCAGGATGATCGGCACTTGGGCACTCCGGGCGTTGTCCATTCAGGATGATCATCCGCCATTCGGGGTAGTTGCATTCCATTCGAGCTGTCGGTTGTCTATCCAGGCTGCCGTCGACTCCACGAGCTTCAGTGTCCACTTGGTCTCGCTGCTTGAGGCCCTCAACTCATTGTCGGGCCACACTCGGGGTCTTCGTAGTCACAGTATCCTGGATGTTCATCTTCAACATGGTGGTGGCACAATTCAGGGTGTCGATGGCTTGGTACACTTGAGTAGCTTCACACTCGGGCTGCTGGGGGTTCGAAGTACCTTGGGATGCCTTGGCCTCGCCAAGAAGGGTAGCTCTCCGGGATACGTTCACCGGGGCACTTCACGGTCTCCCTTAGTCAGACTAGGTCGGGGCCGGACTGGGTGCTGCGCACCTTCGGCCAGTTGAGGTCAAACGCGACCACGCATCCATACTCAACATCTCCTCCATCATGCTCGGGCGTTTCACAGGTACACCATCCTGAATCGACCCTTCTTTCCCACACTGTCGCTCTCCCTGGATCGGCGCCGGGGCCAGCTGCGCGGACACTCTTCAAAATTTCAAGTCGTCTCGTGTCACTGCTCTTGCTGAACAGCGGAGACGACGTTGCTGCTCGCGAGGAGAGCAGCCGCGAGAACGGCGACGGTGGACAAACGCATCGGTGTTTTTTTTTTCGAGAGTACTTGGAGCGAACTTGGGCGCTTGGGGTGCTGGGGAGCAAAAAGCAAAGTGAGATAATAAAAGTTCTTCGTGCCGCCGCGGCTTACCAGTCACTGCATCGATGCGGTGTTTGTGGAAAATTGATGGACAATCGTTCCTTGTTTGCGCTGGCCCAGCATTTCTCAAGTGTGGCGTGGTAATACCACTTAAATTCTCTTCTACCAAAAGGTATTAGAGACACCAACAACACGCTAACCCGCAAAGGTAAGCGCTTATTGGATCAAAACCTGAAGGCCAGGAACGATCCCTTACACCGGGTCGGTTGCAAGCGCCTCTGTGCACCTTAGGTTATCTTCGGTCAACCCAAAAACCTGTACCGCTAGCCACGAGCTAAGGCTAGGATACTATGTAGCGCTTTCGCGCAACCCCACTGCAGTCCCTCAGGAAGGAAGGGTACCGGCGTGTTAGGCCTTATACAGGGGGACCAAGGTAAAACCTCGGTAGGTAGACTAATACACTCAGGGACACTCTAATCCCACAAATATATACTGAACGATACTCTAATACCGTTCCTGCCTCTCCGGTCACACCAACTCTTGGCGCTGCCAAGGAAACTCTCAGTCAATGCACGATAAGCTCCCTGACAGGCATCCACACGCAGCCGAGCGTGTCCAGGCACTACAATAAGCTAGCTACACTTACCGAAGTCGGACTTGACCCTTGTTGGCTTAGGGGGAAGACTGTCTTTTTACTACTGAGTTTTCTGAGGCCCTGGGGGGGGGGCTCGTTCTGGCCATCCTATGATGCGTCCTATGTCCCTATACAAATATCTAGTGTGAACGATCGCAATAAGGCGATTCCGGACACATCAAATGACGACCGCGGCTACACTAATAAGTGCGGCCGAAGTACGTAACTAAATGCATCTTTACCTAAAAGTGGGGACCATGAAGCCTCGTTCGGGGTTGTATTAGGACCCGACGAGGCTCCGACCACTACCTGTCACTCCAACGAGGATAATGTCGCCAGCTTAACCAAAGCAGCCACTTCCATCTCGCGCTTGACTGCTCCTTGATCATTGTACCTTGATTCTTGGGCGACGGGCAATCGCTCCGGTAATCTCCATTTTCCGATACCACAACTGCCCCCGCCTGGACACGAGCCTCAGCAACAGGTGAGCGTCTAGGCGCCTTCCGTCCGTCAACTCCATGGTTCATTCATTGCGCTTGCGCTTGACCGCTGAGACCGCCGCTCTCCTGGACCTTCAGTGTTCTGGTCCGGTACGCTGGACGTTCTTGCTGCTCTTCGCCATCAGTTGGATCCTCGTTAATGACGCCAGCTTGTTCTCTGGCATCCCAGGGTGCTGTCGATGTAGTCACCGACACTTTGCAACTTTGGCTAGGGTCGCAAGATCTTTCATTACCCACCGGTGGTTCTGTTGGCGCTGATAATACGGTTCCGATGCAAGCTGCAACTGTGACCGAGCCTCCAGTGACTTCCTTCGCTGTTGAAGTGTCGGTCGACACACCACAAGGTTCCTCCAGTGATATTTCATCGTCTGCTAGGGCCGCCGATGATTTGAGGATGCTTGGAGCCGCTACGTTACGTGCATTCCGGTGGTTGAATGTCCGACGTTGGTTGTTCGGTCGATGCCCCGCGCACTGCCCCTGGGTTACACCTTGGCTCCGTTTCCTCGATGACATTGGTGTCTGCTTTAGAAAGTGCTGCATCACCTGAGGGTCAAACTGAGCAGCATGCCCTGCCACTCTTCTGGCCGCAATACCAATCTACCGGAGTTCCGGTGGTCGTATGGTCCGACGTTCCATCGACATGCTGCTGACCGCCGCTCGTCACACATCGTCCGCATACTTCTCAGCGTCGCTGACATCTTCTGTAGCTAGTTCTGCGTCGCTCGATGGTTCAACGTCAACTGCAGTAGTCAGGGAACGTGCGATGACTCGTCCAGCCTCGCACCATTACTACGTCGGAACTTCGGTGGTCGTAAAGGAGGCAGGTATGGTTGCCCCAGCTTGAAGCTCGCGAATCGCTGCACAGCCAACGTCGGTCACATCATCACTTGCTTCGTTATCACTCAGAGATAGTGTAGCTGTGTCGACCGTGGTTTCGTTGCCTTCGTTCCACAGTTCCATCCGGATTTTCCGGTGGTCGTAACCAATTCGGGTTTAGTTGCCTCAGTCTGTGGCTCGGCAACCACCGCACCAGAAACATCGGTCGAGCCTTCAGCTTCTTCCTCTTTGGCGTGAGAAACTGTACCATTGTTGACCGTGGTTCGTGATCCACTTACAGCAAATACTCGGTGGTCGTAACGTACGGTCTGGGTACCCCAGCCTCCATCGAGCGACCCGCTGTGTTGCAATCACATCTTTTCGAGCCGCACCAATTCTCGTTCAGGGTTCCCACAGTTTCCGCGCAGGCTACATCAGGCACCACTGCCTTGAACGAAACGTAGTTGTCGGGCGTAGCGGTCCCAGATCCACTCGTATCTCCACTTCATCATCAAATCCATACATCGTCGCAAGTCGAGGTCCGGCGCACAGGCGCGACCTTCTTCCACGTTAATATCGGCGCTCGAAGCCTCGGTCACCCTTCCATGAGCCTCATCCTTGTTCGTTTCATCTGCTGGGGTGTTGACCGAGGCATTCCGACATGCCACTCCATCGTGACTCATTCACGTCACATGTAATATGCAAATTCCAGTCATTTCCTTCGTCTGTCGCTGGGAGCTGGATAGCCTCGCAGGCAGTTCAATCATCGTTTCCAGTAGCTTCATTCGTCTGCCATCGCGAGTTGGGTAACCCTCGCGGGCAGTTCAAACGTCGTTAGCGTATGCAACTTGTCAACGACTTGGGCCACGTGCAAACATCGTGTTGCGTTCGCCACTCGTGCAGGTCATCACCCAAACGAACAATCGAACGGTGTTCGTCTGCGCTTAGGTACGTCATCTCAGGTCCGTTCCACTTCCAAACCTTTGCCAGCTCACCACTGAGAATCAGCACTCGTGTCTTGGTTTACCTCGTTCCATGTAGGGCCAAATCCGAGTGGTAGGCTTCAGTCGAGATGTCGGTAGAGACTCCTGCGCGTAGTCGCTGAGATTAATCTCGTTCGCGGTGTCATCAACCTCCGGGAACCCTTCCGCAACCATCGCATGTACGACCGAGGTGTAATTCGCCTCCAATAGTCTTTCAGGGTCCTCTTTGTCCGGTCCATCGACACAATTTTCTCCATCGGTACTAACCTCGGTCGTAGCGGTTCCTGCTTCAGTTAAAATGTCGTTCGGTCCAGGATCATGTTCACCCCAGTCGATAGTGGCGTTGCCCCACGCGACCGACGTTTGATCTGGTTCAGGGCGTGCTTGCGTATCAGTCGCTGTTCCGGCCATCCGCGGGGCGGATTCCACCGCTGCCGTTACCTCTGGCGCGTCATGATCTTCTCTCGAATCGTCGTTCAGGTCTCCAACACCATCATCACGCTTGTCTCCGGCTCCTGACACCTCGGCCGGGGCTTCCTGTGCCCCACGTTCGATGCTATAGGCGTTATGATCGATGCGCTTGGATGCATAGGCCGCTCGGTGAAGCAACGACCCTTCCAGTGCGTCGGAGTCGGTCCGTGCGCTCGCCTCGTCGTCCGAACCGTCGTTGGATATACCATCACGTTCTGTGTCGTCTGCACCAGGCTCAGTAACCTTGACCGAGCCTTGGGAGACCCTGGGGTCGTTGGCATGATCCGATATACCGAGCGAAGAATAATCGTCGTTAGGACGACCTTGAAGATGACCTCTCGGCCATATTGTAGCGTCGAGCGGTCTCCGTAAGATCTTCTGCGGCGTCGAGTAAGTCCTGCGCTCAACTGCGGGTGGCTGTTTGGCCAGCCATTGGTCATAGAGACATCGCTCCCTTCCATACAGAGTCTCGTCACGGCTCGTTAAGTATGCCAGCACCTGCCACTCCTTGTACTTGTTAGAGTCCAACCTCGCGTAGCCGGTCTCTCGTGGTAGTTCACCATGCGGTACCCAGAGCACCACGGAGTCGTGCTTGGCACACTGCCGTTGTGGTCGTAATATTGGTGAGTCGTACCCTTGTCGGCTGCCCCCGTCGAAGCCTCGTTACGGTCGGCACAAGCTTTCCCGTGCGCCGTACCCACACATCGTACTCTGAACGAGGTAGCCGCTGGCGCGGCAGTCGAAACTCTCGCCACTCGCGACCGGGGACGTATAAATCCTCGGTCGGCCCACACGAAGGCTGCGGGCCGTAAGGTTCGTCATCCCCAACACTCTGCGACTTCAGCAGTGGTACCATGACCTCGTCTGGAAGGCGTGCGGCGCCATGGAACAGATCGAGCCGGATTCCAGCCGGGATCATAAAGTCCATCCCAAGGACCACATCCACTCCGGCACTGTGGTCTATTATCCACATTTCGAACTCGTAAGCCTGCTCCCACCCGAGAGTGATCTTGACGAGCGCCCGTCGCCGGGTCTCCATCACCCCCGGGTTGATGCCACGGACTTCGAGACTTCGTCTGTTGTCCCGGACTTCCCGTACACGTAGCCGCTTGGCGAAGCTGGCAGAAATCACGCTAACATTCGCTCCAGTATCAAGGAGTAGCCTCGTTCGCGCGTCGTCCACGGCGCCATTGACCAAAGCTCTCATTCGCTTCCTCTTGTCGTATCGCTGGGACGACCACCACCCCAGTCTCTCACCGGGCAGTAATTGCACCGCCCGAACGAGGCTCCGAGGTGGTGGGCTAGACTTGTAATCTAAGCCGCGGTCGGGTGTCCATCACGTTCATCATCATCATCTTCATCAATACCGGTCTCAACGAGACTTGCGTCTCGGTTCTCTCCATTTTCCGTCGGTTTCACACGTTCATTGTTCTTCAGGTCGTCAGGCCGGTTGCTTTCGCCTTTGAACGCGAACAGATAGTCCGCATCAACAGCAGGCTCAGCTAACTGTGGCAGCCCGATTGGGACCAACCCAGTTTCAGTTGGCGGGCTGCCTCGTTTAAATGGCTTCCATACACCAGGCTTTGCAGCTCTGGCGACAGATCCTTCTTGTCGACCTTGGACTTCAGGAGCTTGGTGAGCTCGTGGAGTGCTTCACACTTCCCAGCGTCGTGCACCTGTTTGCACAGTTTGCACCGCCGGTAGCAGAAGTGCACGGAGTGGGACGAGCTTCCGCACGCGGCACACGGCCCATACTGGCGACGGCCATCTCGTTCGCGGTTGGACGGGCATCCTCCGTTCCTGAAGCGTCGGTTGTCAGACCAGGCGAACGTTCCATCGGCTGCGGCCCTGCGCTCAGCGTCGTTAACGGCAGCGACATGTCGAGTAGACTCGTCCGAGTCGTAATCGGCGTCTGAATCCTCGTCCGAGCGTTGGTCATCCGAGTACTGGCGCTCGTCCTCGAAGTAATCCTCGTTCGCCTCAGCATCACGTCGGGGGGCGTACGAAGCCTCGTTGCGTGCACCGACCGAGCCTCCGATGTTCCATTCCGCCATCACATCGGCAAGTGTGTCGACCACAGTCACACTCGACCGGTGCGGGGACCCGTCACGTTGGTCACGGCGGCGGACGTCGTCACGGTAACGTCGTTCGCGGTGGTAGCCACTACGATAATCATCGTTCGACCTGGCGTCGCGACGGCGAGTGGCATCTTGACTCCGAGAACGGTGTAACGACGATTCGCGAGTTGACTTGCGGTCGCGGTGACGCAGAATGTCATTAATCATGTCTTCGAGGTCATGAATGCCCTTGACCGTGACATGACACAGACGCTCTTCTAAATCTCGGTCGTCACACGTAACCAAGAAGTGTTCGACGTGGTCCTTCGCGTCACGATCCCCGTGCTCAAACTGCACCCCGGCGTTGCGAGCGTAGCCGTTGAGCCGGTTGAGGTAGTCACATACATGCTCTTTGTTCTCTCGTTTGGCCGAGTAGTACCGAGCCTTTGCAGACTGGGAGAACTTCGAGCAGTAGTACTTAATGAATGCCTCGCACAGCAGTTTCCACATGCGCCTCGTCTTGCGTGGAAGCTGGCGGCACCAATACAAAGCCCCATCTCTGAGCTTGAGTTCGAACGGCATGCACCACTCGTGGGGCGGTGCATGTGTCCCCCTCATCTCGTAGATGGACGTACGAAGCCACTGCATGGAGTGTTCGCTCTTGTCGCGCACACCGTAGAACGACTTGATGTTGCAGAGAGGTAGATGCGTGGTAATCTCGAGCTTCGGGGTTGAGCTATGATTGTCAGTCGCGCTCCGTTCGCGCACCTGACGAGCCCATTCGCTTGGCAGGTCGCCCTCGTAACAGTCGGACCCGAGATCATCGTCACTGTCCGACGAGCCATCTCGGAGGTCGTAACGGCGGCTGGACCGGCGACCGGTTGCTCCGCGCATCCAGGCGTTGCGTACGAAACCTCGGTCTCCCTAGCCAGACGTTCAGTACGGTCCGTAGATCGTGGGGTTACCATGTGCGAGTCTTGCATGTAAGGCGAAGCCTCGCCCTTGACTGCGAAGACTCCGTCATCCGTGGCTGCCTTCCGAGGGGTCGCTGGTAGCGGGACCTTGGAGGGGTCAACCGCTTCCGGGGCCGAACGAAGCTTCGTTGAGCCTCGGTCTGCCGCCCCAAAGGCCTCACGTAACTTCTTCCTCCACTTGGTAAGCGCCATGGCGGCGGTGGTTGGCGTCCAGCTCGCGAGTGCAGCCTCCGTCGGGAGAATCTGGGGCTCGCACCCCATTGCACGCAGGAGATCCACAGTGTTCTGAGCGAGCTGCCGAGTGCTCGTTGAGTTGATCGGCGCTGCCAAAGCCCCTCCGAGGTCCATCCAGATGGCTTGGCGGACCTGCTTCGGGGAGAACAACTGCATCCACTCACATTTGGTCTTCATCAGCTCCAGACATCGGCCTAGAACCTTGTTGGCCGCCGGAGTATCGCCGTTGGGGGGAGGACGAGTGCCAACCGGCTTGGAGGTTGCCCCTCCTACCGTAACCGAGGGTTTGAAGTCCTCGGTGGCGCCGTCATCCGCGTCGTACGCGAGCTCGGGGCCAGGCATATCGTTGAACGTTTCGGAGAGGTCGCGGGTGATCGACCTCGATCCTCCACTGCGGCTGGCCGACACAACCGCGGCTTCCGAAGTCTCGGACACCACAGTCCTGACATCCCAGTCATCATCTTCGTCATCTTCGTTGGCGTCCGATGAATCAATCGCCTTGTCGCAGCTCGCCGAACGCTCGTCGATCGACTCCAACCGATCCATCGCTATGGGTCGAGAACGAGCTTCCGGAGCGCACCGAAGCCTCGTTGCGCGTTCCACTCGACTTGACCGGCGTTGCTGGTACCGCTGACTTGACTCCCTTCGCCATCTATTCACTTCTCCTTCGCTTCTCTTCTTCTCTTCTTCTCCTTTTTCGCTTGTTGGGGGTAAAGACCTTCAACAACCAAGACACACAGAAGGTCACACCAATCCTGGGTCGCGGCACCAGTTGTGGTGTGGTAATTCCACTAAAATCCTCTTCTACCAAAAGGTATTAGAGACACCAACAACACGCTAACCCGCAAAGGTAAGCGCTTATTGGATCAAAACCTGAAGGCCAGGAACGATCCCTTACACCGGGTCGGTTGCAAGCGCCTCTGTGCACCTTAGGTTATCTTCGGTCAACCCAAAAACCTGTACCGCTAGCCACGAGCTAAGGCTAGGATACTATGTAGCGCTTTCGCGCAACCCCACTGCAGTCCCTCAGGAAGGAAGGGTACCGGCGTGTTAGGCCTTATACAGGGGGACCAAGGTAAAACCTCGGTAGGTAGACTAATACACTCAGGGACACTCTAATCCCACAAATATATACTGAACGATACTCTAATACCGTTCCTGCCTCTCCGGTCACACCAACTCTTGGCGCTGCCAAGGAAACTCTCAGTCAATGCACGATAAGCTCCCTGACAGGCATCCACACGCAGCCGAGCGTGTCCAGGCACTACAATAAGCTAGCTACACTTACCGAAGTCGGACTTGACCCTTGTTGGCTTAGGGGGAAGACTGTCTTTTTACTACTGAGTTTTCTGAGGCCCTGGGGGGGGGCTCGTTCTGGCCATCCTATGATGCGTCCTATGTCCCTATACAAATATCTAGTGTGAACGATCGCAATAAGGCGATTCCGGACACATCAAATGACGACCGCGGCTACACTAATAAGTGCGGCCGAAGTACGTAACTAAATGCATCTTTACCTAAAAGTGGGGACCATGAAGCCTCGTTCGGGGTTGTATTAGGACCCGACGAGGCTCCGACCACTACCTGTCACTCCAACGAGGATAATGTCGCCAGCTTAACCAAAGCAGCCACTTCCATCTCGCGCTTGACTGCTCCTTGATCATTGTACCTTGATTCTTGGGCGACGGGCAATCGCTCCGGTAATCTCCATTTTCCGATACCACACAAGTATCCGTTCTGCCAGAGTTGTGGGACACATAGTTGTGGGACAGTACTTTTATATAGGATTTTGTATGGGGGATCAAATACGGCATCCTCGATATCTTCGTAAATCCCGCAGAACTAGTCAAGTCAGTTCGGGAACAACCTAAACTAAAGTAAAAATATCGCTTGGGCAGGTCGCACGAATAGTTGTGGCATCCTCTGTGTAGCAGGCGATCCTCCATACATTTTGCCGGTCCTCCAGCGGTGATAATCAAACATATGTTTGTATAATACTAAATCCAAGTTTATTTGGGGGCTTCCACATGCAGCAACCTAATGCAATTTTTGGTTCTAGGCCACACAATTAAACCAAATGACCAGCTTCAGTGAATAGATCGCTGCAAGATTATATGAATCCGTGCTTATTACGAGCTCTGTCGCGAAGGAGAGTGTTCATATAGAGCTTGGCTCAAGATTAGCGAACATATGTATTTTACATACAACATGCAGTGTAAGTGTAGTGCACCACAAGAGGCAGCAGTGTCCCACAATCGTGTTCGTGAAATTAGCGCTTTTTCAGATGCAGCATTCTACTGTTTTCATGTGAAGAACAAGCAAAAGAACAGTACCGACAAACTACATTTTCCTTCTACTTTCTAGTGATGTCGTTTGTGCACCGCAAATCGTTCAGCAAAGTTACTTTTGGTGTCCCTCTCCAACTGTCCCGTAACTCTGGCAGAACGGATAACAACCTGACCAAGCTGTAAGTTTATCGGAGCCGTCCGTCTCTCTTCTCGCGATGGGGCCCAGCGGCGCTGGAAAATTGATGGACATGCTCTAGTTGAGGCACTTATGCCGCTTTGACTCGGTATTTTTTCTGCACACATTGCCACATCTAGAGCAATCGTTCCTTGTTTGCGCTCAACGGCAACTTTCAGCAAGGCAGGAAATGCACAGCGACATCAACAGCCATATGCACCAGCTTCAGAAAGTGAACTGCGGCACGCGCGATATTCATGGGTGTGGCCCCACAATTCTTCCTTATCACGGCGATCAGCACCGGTACCAGCACCAGCGTTTTATACCACAAGTGTTCCCAGCCAAGTCGAAGATGCTTGGTCGACATCCTTCTGGCTTGTGTAGCACGAAGATTGCGCCAGGTTACGCTTACGCTTCCAATTAATCCGTTGGGAGCTGTCCACCCCCTCATTCTTCGGGTGTTCCCAGTATAATATATCGTTTCATTGAAAACGGGCGAGGAAATTTTCAAACATAATTGAATATTGGAGCTGCCCTTGGACCTGCGTATTTTGGTCTCAACTACTAAATAAACCATTTTTTAAATTCTAGACTTCTATGCCATAATAAAGGTACAGTATCAATGGATAGCGTGGCGTTCCTAGTGTAAAAGACAGAGCAGACTTCTCACGCAAGCACCGTTAGCCTTCTCATCATGATGGTAGATGATTGTGATTATTCTGTCCGTACATCAACCATCAGAGTGAGAAGGTGAACTATGCTTGCGTGAGATGTCTGCTCGGCGCTCCAAGGATATCACGCTATCCATGGATACATGTACCTTTATAATCTGACAGAGAAGTAAGGGTTTGGATTAAATAAGGACCATTTTAACACAGGGACGTTGAGACCATAGCACATAGGTCTATGGAGAAGGACCACGACATAATTTTTTTATATCGAATTTTGAAGAAATTCTTGCAGACATTGATACGCACGAATAGTCCGGCCCACAGCACTCTACTTTTATGACGTTGATGCTGGGGCAGCTGTGATTCAGGATTTTGCGCTGCAAGGTGTCTCACCGAGCCAATTAGGCACCTAGGTACAGTACCACCACCAAAGCTGATTTTTTTAGTCTGTACATGTACTACATCGCTGTCGCTTAGAATGGGGGGGCTGTTCGTTTGCACCATGAATAACAGTGTAGGAAATGACAGTTCTGCAGTGGCACCGATCTTCGCTCGGAAGAAGATTCCCTTTTTACGCTGCATTGGTTCTTATAATGTTAAGAACTGCATTGATTCTTACTTAGTATTAACGTTAACGTTAAGAACAGGTCTTGGATTTGCTGCTTATGTGTTCAAATCGCAAGACTGAACCAACATACACAGAAGTGGATCATGGCACGTGTCTTCTGTTAGGTTCATGCTTCGTTCAGCTTTCTGCTCTATCAAGTGTTGGCACTTACTTCTGCTAGGAGAGATATGAGCATCGCATGTGGACCGAAGGAGGAGCTGTCACTTTCTTGGTCGCTTTCTGAAGCAGAATTTCCACCTACACCTATAGCGGCAATAGCCTGCTGCTCTTCCTAGCTGCTCGCAACACCAGGATTCATTGGCGAAAGCATCTCACACGCTTCCTATTCTTATCCTATACATGGTGAGGCATTTGTGTGTTCTTTCAATGCGGAGACTAAGCATTCCATTAAAGCAATGCAGACACAGTTGGTCGTCTTTCCTAATACCTACTACTTCGTAGTGCCATGCATGCTTCGGTAGTGGGTCACGGTACCTACTGTATAGTTTTAAATCTAGTAGTTGGTTTGTTCCCCTTTCTATTGAACGTAGCGGCATTCCACGACACAGGCTGCGCCAGCACAGCACAGCCTAGTACTTACAACTACTGCTAGTAAAAAAAGATTTTATTTGGATGCTGCATTTTGTCGTGTTTTGTTGAAGAGTTCTTACTAGCGTTGACTGTCAGAAACTTGCCAATTCGAAATACGAGGCAAACAATATTGTACTGTATGTCGAGTGATTTAGTATAGTCTGGAGCACGAGAATATTCACTTTTTAAATAACACGTACTTAGCATTCAGCTTGTTCACGGCACACTCGTTGCCGGACTGCAGTATTTCCTGATGCATCACGCACTTGAGTATAGAACACGTTGGATTCGGTAAAAGCTGGCATTGACATTTCGGCAGTGCCAGACTTTAATTAAGACCTTCAAAAAGTGAATTACGCTAGGAAAGCGAAAAGTGGTACGGGCGAAGTGTTTACATGGAGCTCACATTTGTCACCCAAGCACGTCTAGGCTCTCAAATACAGTCTAGAGCGGCTAGGAGATGTTCAATTGTTGTCTGTCGATATTGGTACGCGGGATGCATCCAAAGAGACGCCGAAACACAGCACAAGTTCTACAAGATGTAGCGTGTGGCGGCCACAACGTACTACAAAGAACCGGAGCAACTTAATGACAAAAAACGAGTTAGTACTCTAATTCTTGGCGAACTTGCAATTTCCCGGCGTGCTGGACGGTAAAAAAAGGAAAGTTTAGTACTAGTGTAGTACGTGTACTACACCACACTGTGCTGTGCAATACTACATACAGGTAGACGGATCAAGGCTGCGTTAAAACTCGTAGACAGCCAATGCAGAGTAAAACGTAACGAGGAGATTTTACCACGTGTTATCTTTCTCTGTGAATTGGCCACCCCGAGATAGTAAGAGTAACTCGGTTGCTCCGCTAACTGACTCAGTAGGAGGTTAGTTTCTCCCTTTCTGGCCGTAATCGTCGCTATCGTCAATGGGGTTCTTGTAGTGGTACCCCCCAATGATTCGCAGCGATCGCTTGATATCGTCTCGAGTCGGCAGCCGAGGCGGTGGAGGCGCTTGCCACGATGGTCGTCGCGAGGAGGAGTGCAGCGTAGCTGAGGCGCATAGCTGAGGTGGATTTGGGTGCTCGAGAGCAAAATGCAAAGTGAGCTCGTATGCATTCATAGCACCAAGTACCATAGTTTCACGTTGGTACGTTGTAGTCAACAAGCGAAATGAAAATACAGACAAATTCAAGGAACGCGCTATGGATCATTGCTACTGTATCCGCAAGCTAATTTTGCGTTCCGTCTGTACAGTATAGCCACAACACCGTTCGTAAGTAATCCAGCTCCAACGTTAAAATTTGTTTACAGCTGTAGTAAATATTCATGTACTGAAGATGCCATCTTCAAGATGGCCACGCTACCGCACTGCCTGGTGCAACACAACGTACTTCAAACGAGCCAGCGAGTCCTCGGTCTCATCCTGGATCAACTCGCGCCGGCAGCAAATGTGTGACTTTTGCATCCACTTCGAAATGGTACTTTTCAGCTCTAGCAGCATTTCTTTCGGTAACGGAAACATGTTCGGCGTGAAGCGTAGTTCTGCAGGGCTGTCGTTCTGTCAACACAGAAAAGGTCATAAATGTCAGAGCGTACTCGTATGGGGAAACTACAGCGGCTTGGATTGGGTCCACACACCTTACCGTTTCAGTTAATAAATGGTAGAAGCCTATGAGGGTTAAAGAGGCATCGAGAGCTGGAAATCCACAACCTTGAAAATCGGACGCCAAGACGACTTGCACCCTTGCTTCCAAACTCATGTCTATCGGAGGAGGTTCCCCAGACAGTAACGCCGATAAAGAAATCGGTATGTGTCCGACGCGCGTTTCAATTCCGACGTTGTCTCCGGTGTTTGGTCGCATGAGGTCGCTCACGCTTAAATTGCTGAGCGAGTTCACGATATTCCCATCCCCTTGTAGCGCTGCCTCGCTCTCTCGGAACAGATCAGCCGCATCAGCAGACATGCCTTTTGTAGCTGCCAATAATGCCGAGAACCGTTCGGATGGCACGTTGTGCTGCCCTTCGGTTTGTGTGTTCTTCGTTGCGCTGGGGAGGGTTGGGAACCCAGGCGACAGTGTTCCCACTGGTGGCAGTACTCCCGTCCATTGTAATGTAGGGCTGAGAACCACCTCGGACTGTGGGGACTTTGGATCGAGATAGGAGGTGCTGTTGAGAAGCGCAAACAGAAAGTTGTGTTAGTGCCCATCTGGCGTTCAGTGGTTGTCTCTGAGACTTACCTGTAAAGTAGCTTGGAAATCGAGGCGTAGTCCTTCCAGGAATTAATGTTTATGCTTGCTGCATCAAACCCGTTTGTGGGTATCTGAGTATCACCGCCTTGGCGTCCAGATAACCGAAGTAAATCCTGTGATAGATTGTACGGGGACGCTTGGACCTTCGGCGTGATGTCGCCGCCACTGTACATGGCCTTAGGCCGGTCTGGCCACTCGAACTGCTTTTCTGACGACCACTGAAGCGAATGGTGTCCTGCAAAGCTGTTCCCTGCCCCGGCAGATTGCGGGTCACTTTGTCCTGAATAAATATAATCGCAAATCTAGTATAAACACACCAGCCCTAAGTACAACATTGGTATCGGTAAGAAACACCCACCTCCTTGATCCAGCAGTAGCTTCAGGTCGCAATCGTCCCGGTGAGCTGGTGCCTGTCCGTACGTCTCCTGACACGATGGACACTTGTACGCCTTCGACAGTGCTTGGGCCAAAATCTCATCGAGGTTTGCCCCGGATTTATCCCCAGAACTAGTAGGCACGCGCTGCCACTGCAGCTTGTACAGAAGATCGAAGGCTGCGTTCGCCCACAAGCACAAATTCGGCGTGTCCGGCGTAAATGGCGCCATCGATGCCGAGTTCCGCGGCGGCATCAGCCCCTCCATCTCTGCTATCGCCGCCGTCACATTACCCGTGACAGTGGACGACGACTGCGATGAGGCGGGCGACTCGTCACTCGACAGCTTTCGGTTCGGCGTTCCTTGCACAGACGCGCGCTTCGCCTTCTTCGCCTTCGCGGGCGACTCCGTCTCCGCGGTCTGCTTCACTGGGCGTTTCTTCTTCTTCGACAATACCAGCACTGGGTCCGATATCACCGACGTCTTGTAGCCACATGCACCAGGACACCTCGGCACCGCAATCTCCACCCGGAACCGCTACAATAACAGTACGTCGAACAAATACATATTAGTAATAAAATATTTAAGGAAAAAAAATGATCTGTACCCATGTTGCTCACCTGGTTGAGGTGGTTCTTGGACACTTCGGCGATGCGAACAGCGAGCGCGCTCTCCCCGTCCTGGTTGAGGCACTGGCCCGCCATGACGTGCAGGATCTCCTGCTTCTCCACCACCTTGCCGCTCTCGTACAGCAGCTGCACGCTCAGCAGCCGCTGCGCCGCGCACTGGGCGCAGCTGAGCCTCGAGCGCCGCCGCACGCGCACCTCGAACGTCGCCTTGCGGCCGAACTGATCCTTGTACCACGTCTCGGGCGGCTGCAGCGCGATCTCCAGCGCCGCGTCCGCGTCTGCCTTCTGGTTGTCGCCATGTGCTGCCGTCTGCACAGGCGTGGGGGCTATCGCCACTGCAGCGGCGGGCTCCTGCTTCACAGGAGGGATCATCGACTTGCCTTTTGTGCTGTTTCTTCGCTGCGGTTTGAAATGGGTACGTTGTGTGCACCACCTCAAGTCAAAATGGATGCATCCGTGTACGCCAGCCCAATCTTTTGCACAACGGCATACTAGTAATGGGGTGCTGCTGCGAGTGGCGGGCGCCCAAGCCGCTGCGCTACGTGCTGCCCTGCGTGATCGTCTGGGTGATCCTGTACCTGTACGCGTCCTTCGTCGTCTTCTCGCAGAGTCGCGTGCTGGCGGGCGGCGCGTCCCCCGTTCAGCTGTTGCTCTTCCACTCGATGACGCTGCTGCTGTGCGCGTCGCTGACTCAGACGCTGCGCTCGGGCGACTCGTTCCTGCCGCGCCGCTCGCTGAGCAAGGAAAAGCTGCTGGAGCTGCAGCGGCAGCCGGCGGACGACGCGCTGGTGGAGAGCAAGATGAACGGCGGCGTGCGCACGTGTCGCAAGTGCCGCGCGCTCAAGCCGGACCGGACCCACCACTGCTCGACGTGCAGGCGCTGCGTGCTCAAGATGGACCACCACTGCGTCTACATCAACAAGTGCGTGAGATATAGAAGCTTTCATTGTGGACAGAGGAGGACAGAGGGCAGGTTGAAGTTGACGGCAACTTTGATGTTGGATTTGGGTGTGCAGGTGCATCGGATACTTCAACTACAAGTTCTTCGTGCAGTTCCTGGGCTGGAGCTCGGCCACGTGCTTGTACCAGAGCAGCCTGCTGTTCCGCTACGTGCTGGCCGAGAGTCTGGACCGCACGGCCACGCTCTACCTGTTCGGCAAGCTCGGGCTGTTTGATCCACACTTGCAGGTCCGTCGACGAGCAGATCTGGAGCTTGGAGAGGAACTGTTTGCTGACTTTGGTTGGGTGTTGTATGTAGGCTGTGTGCGTGTTCTTTAGCAGCACTTGCTTGGGACTGGCCCTGGCGTGCTTCTACTTGATGCACTTGTACTTTGTGGTCAACAACTACAGCACGCTCGAGTACTGCGAGAAGCGCGACGACCCCGAGTACATCAATTACTACAACGTGGGCATCCTGCGTAACTTCCAGGAGGTGTTTGGCACGTTCCGCGAGCTCCCGTACTGGTTTGTGCCTCTACACAGCCCTAGCTTTAGCAAGCGGGACGGGAAGAGCTTCCCCGTGAACGTCAAGTATACCAAAGTCGACTAGAGAAATTCAATAGATGAGCAACGACGACTTCTGCAACGCGTGAATAGGATTTAACTTATGGCTGCACTCAATCCAGATCCCACTACTAACCTTCCTTTAGTGTCGGGCTTCGATACCTCTGCTGGATCTTCGCGATGGCTGGGACGGGATGGAAACGGCGATGTCGGGCGACTCATCGAAGCGGGTCTGGTAAAAATGCTCGATGGACTTGGCGTCCGTCCTACCTGAACCTGCCATGATGAAAGCATCTTGCGGAGGAAGATCATCGGAGGCAGGTGGGAGCGGTTCTGGACGATAGACAGCGGCAGATCCCCTTCTTGGGGACAAACTGGTCACGATCACGTGGGGGGAACTCCCCTCGGTCGTGGCAGGCAGTGGCTCCTCTGATGTGCTGAAGAACTCGAAGACACTTTGGCGCCGCGGGTGCTGGCTGCGAAGAGCCCCAACGTCGTCCAGAGTCGGCTCTGTCGAGATCATCTCGCTCAGTAGTCGTTGGAACCCCTGCAGCAGAAGGTTCCGCTCCCCCTTGGTCGCAAGTTCGAGCACAACCCTGCCACGATGGTAACTTCGACACACAATTATTATCCCGCGGCGGTGGCTCACTTTCTTCGACAGCCGCGGAGCTTCTGGGTTTCCTTCCTTCCGAACTGGGATGACCTGCTCGATGTTGTCTACAGTAATGAAAGATACAAGTCAACAACTCAGTGGTCTTGCAGCATCGACGTACAATACAATACTCACGCAAATTAATCCGCGGCTTCTTCTTCCGTGACGGCGTCCACGTTAAATAGCACTCGCCGGCCTCGGTGTTCAGGACAAGTTGGAGCTGGATCGTCTTCAGAGCCCCCGAGATGCAAACCTTGCTAGCTGAAAACCCTTCGACCAGCAACAACCGAAAGCTCGCCGCCGAAATGTTTTCCTGCTCCTGAGCCCGCTGAACTGCCAGTCGATCCCGAGCAAGTTGCAGCATGTGGTCACCCACCTCGTGCCAGCTTCGCATCCGTCGATATCGCCGATAGAGCCGTTGAATCACGAGGATGACACCCATACGAGCCCCAACATTAAACACGAACGCTCTGTTCAGAAAGTAAAACAATTTGTCAGCATTTACCAAGCTCTGATGCCAGACAATCGACAGCAGATCGTACGCTGAGCGACGTCTGAACATGGGATACTGCTGCTCCTTCTTCAGGACTTCTCCCTGTTCACCCGGAGCGAGCGTTAGCGAGGAATACTTGTAACTACTGAGTGAATTGATATCACGCACCGGTGAGTCTGGTAGCAGCCCGAAGAAGCGTTGAATCGTCCGACAGAGACTCTCCTCGCTCCAGACGGCCGGCTCGACCTTCACTTCGTCAAGGAACAGCGGCTCTCCGCTAGCTGCGGTCGGAGACTTGGACTCGCTGCCATTTGACAGGATCCGCTTCTGCTCCGGCGCAGGCGGAGGCGGTGACTTGCTCAGCAGACTGCCCATGGTCTTCTCCGTTGCGTTCGAGTCGGTATTTGCCACCGTTGCTGGGTTACACGGCGTGGATCCGCCGCGGGGATCGGTAGCGAAGACTAGCGAAGAGTCACAATGGACGGACGGCGTTGATCAGCCTCAGAACGATGGAGAAGACAGAGCGAATATGAGGGTGAAGGTGGAAATGAGCGAATAGCGGAGTGTTAAAGGCTATCTGTGCTGTGGATAAAGTTTTAAGGAGCTCGTGGGGTCCGTGAGCTACTTAGGACTGATGCCTGTCAAGGCAGCGCCGCGGTCATGTGGTCTCGAGTACCAGCGGCACGACTTCGCAGTTGTCGGGGCGGAACTGGATCGGGGTGTTCATGGTGACGGCGCACACAGCCTCGATGAAGCAGACGTGCGACACCACCACCACGTAGCGCTCAGGCACTGCGTCGAACAGCTCCGAGAGGAAGTTCCTCGCTCGGTCGCGGATCTCGTCGTTTGTTTCGTGGTGCGTGGGGGACCACAGCTCGTCCTGCTCGTGGGCGATCAACGAGAAGTCGACGTCGGGGAACTTGCGCTTGATCTCGGACAGCGGGCGTCTCTTGTCGAACGTGTTGCAGTCGAGCACCTCCCTGCAGTTCTCCATGCACAGGAACGGCTTGTCCGGCACTTGGTCGTTGGTGAAGAATCTCTGCGCGGTCTGAATCGCCCTCGAGAGCGGGGAGACCACAACCCTCTCGATCTTGGGCATGCCCCGCTCCAGCTCGGCCTTGACGCTGGGCGGGCCCTTGGCCCTGGTGTCCTCGACCCCGAACGGTGTCAGGTCTGAATCCAGGAACTCGTCCGAGCGCGCCAACTCGTCCTCCCAGCGCCCGACGCCGTACTTCTGCTCCGCCACGTTGTGGAATCCCTGCGCGTGGCGCACCAAGTACAGCACCTTGATGTTGCGAGGGGTGTCGGAGCTCGTGTCCTGCTGCAGCAGCTCGAGCTTTTGCTGGAAGGCGGCCCAGGACGGAGGGACCCGCTCGAACCGCCTGAAGAGCGACAGCTCGTCTAGAGCCGCTGCTTTGGGGGCGAAGAAGCCCTCGACCGCCTTCACGACGGCGGAGCTGCCGGTCATTGCGTCTGACTTCCTTCCTAAGATTTCCTTTGTGACTAAAGACTAGAGAGCGGCTGACAGTCACATGAGCTGATCGAAGAGTGCAAGGTTCCACGCAGGTCAGCGAGGGCAAGTGGTTGAAGCGAGGGCGATTGGCTGAAATTGGGCGGATCTTGGCCAGCGTAATCTTAGCCCGGACTAATTTAGACACAAACAAACGCGAATTTTGGCTGCGGACAACGTCAATTGCGCGCGTCCAGCAGAGTGTCTGTAGTTAGCATGACGGAGACCAGCGCCGCCACTGACTCGCCCCACGGCGCCCAGACGGCTGTGAAGGTCGTGGACGGCTTCTTCGCGCCTAAGACCGTGGTCGAGAGCGATCCAACGGCGCCCCTGCCGCTGTTCAAGCGCTTCGAGATGGTGCCTGCGTCCTGGAGCGAGTTCCAGCAGAAACTCGCGCAGTTGGAGAAGGAGAAGCGGTCGGACGGCAGCTCGAGGCAGATCAAGGTCGTGTACTTCTTGCGCCACGCGCAGGGCACGCACAACGAGGCTCACGACAAGTACGGATCGCCTCGGTGGGAGGACGAGTTCGCGCGCACCGAGGCGTTCCTGGACGCACCGTTGACTCCGTTTGGAGTTCAAGACGCCCAGAGCAAGGGACGGCCCAGTGCACAGGCGGAGCTGGATAGAGGCATGCCCCCCATCGAGAGGGTCGTGGTCTCTCCGATCTCGCGGGCGATCCAGACTGCGCAGAACTTCTTCACTAAAGAGCAGGTGCCGAACGAGCCTTTCACGTGCATCGAGAGCTGCCGCGAGACGTTCGACTGCCATACATGCAACAGGAGGCGACCGCTATCGGAGCTGAAGCGCAGGTTCCCGGACGTCGACTTTTCCCGCCTGACGGACGAGGAGGACCAGCTCTGGTCAACAACGCATCGCGAGACGACGGAGGAGATCCAGAAGCGAGCGAGGGAGTTCCTGGTGGAGCTCTTCCGTGAGGTCCCGGAGCGCTACGTGGTCGTGGCGGCGCACCTCAGCATCATTGAGGCGATCTGCGCCGTCACTTTGGGCACGCAAGTGCGTCCAAGCAACTGCGAGGTCGTCCCGATCGTGCTGGAGGCTGTTTGAGCGTCGCGGACTGGGTGGGCAGTAGAGAGGGGCAGCACGGCAACAAGACGACGAGACTGGCTGATAGATTCCTTGACCCCCTTGCCTCTGGGATAAAATGATACGCGCAACTTTTTTTTTCATTTTTTCACAGTTATTGTGATATGCGGGATCTGCGTCGTCCTTCAACGTCCTAGATCGGGTGTTTACAGTTGCCGTTCGCAACGCTTTCGAACAGGCTAGTCGACGCGGCTTCAAACCGCCTCCAGCACCAGCGGGATGACCTCGCAGTTTGCAGGGTGGATTCGGACGCCCAGAACCACCGCGCACAAGGCCTCCATGAAGCCCGAGTGCGTGACAACCACCACGTTCCGCTCTGGGACGTCCCGGAAGAGCTCGAGCAAAAACACCCTCGCGCGGGCCTGCATCTCCTCGTCCGTCTCGCGGTGCGTGGGCGTCCAGAGCGGATCATGCTCGTCCTTGATGGCTGAAAAGTCCACGTCCGGGAACTTGAGTCTCAGCTCCGAGACGGAGCGCCTCTTATCGCAAGTGTGGTAGCCAAGGATCTCCCGGCAGTTTTCCATGCTCACGAACGGCGCAGCGGGCACCTGGTCCTTGGCGAAGAAGTTCTGGGCCGTCTGGATGGCGCGCGAGAGCGGCGACACGACCACCCGCTCGATGGGCGGCATACCCTTACCCAGCTCCGCCCTGACACTCGCAGGGCCCTTGCTCTGAGCGTCGCGGACGCCGAACGGCGTGAGGTCCGCGTCCAGGTACGTGTCGCTGAACGCGAGCTCGGACTCCCAGCGCTCGGTGCCGAACTCCTTGTCGGCGGCGTTGTGCGTGCCCTCCGCATGGCGCACCAGGTACACGGCCTTCACGCGCCTTGGGACAGGTGTGCTGCTGCTGCCACCTCCCCCCTCCTGCTGCTCCTCCTCTTGCGAGGGCTTCTCCAGCTGGGCGAATTTCCGTTGGAACGCGTCCCAGGACGCAGGCACGAGCAGGAACCGCTTGAAGAGCGACTCGTCGCCTGCCACCGGCGCCTTCGCGGCGAAAAAGCCCTCCACTGCGCGGATTGAAGTGGGCGTGTGGGCGCCATCGCTTGTGGCAGCGCGCCCTTCTTGGGCAGCGCGCTCGAGCTCGCTCGACTCGGTCATTGCCTCGGCTGCTTGGTGACAATGGCGTCCGTCGAGCGTGACTGAATGTACTGTGTACGGTATCTTCCCGAATCAGATCTGATAATTTCTCCACCGAAATGAAATGATGAGCATCGAGTGCAATGGCCTGCAGGGGTTCGAGGGTGTACGCCGACGCCCTGCAATGTGGTTTCGTCCGCGATGAGCTCCCGAGCATCGCAGCAAGACGCGACAGCTAGCTTCGACTAAGGTACGGGATATGTTGTAAAAGACAGTTGATGTTTTGCTATCAAGTTCAGGAGCGACGGGAGCACCAAGAGTCTCCAACAATTGCCCCTATTGACGCGACCTCGGGATAAACGCATCCAGGCGACCTGTTTGTCCTTTCTCGTACAGGTATTGCATTGCATGTGTGGACGGGCATCTCTACAGCTCGAGCGAGGGACCAGCATGGTCTTCGCTGCTGTCCACGAGATCGATTAGTCGGCGCCACTCGCTTGACCGACTTCGCGCCCACCTTCTGCGACAGAGCCTCAGCTTCAACATCCACCGTCGCGCAAAAGCGTAAAACAGCGAAGTGCTGGCGCCCAGCAAAAGACTTCGTTACTCTCACGCGTGGGGACGGCGGCAGCGAGCGAGCGCTTCGCTTGCCTGCCCACTTGCAGCTCGACCGACGCGGAAGAGCAGTCGAGCCCGAGGGAGGTCCATCTCGGTGCGCGTATATATCGTGGAGAAGAGGGGGGGGTCTGCCGGTCAGGAGAGCGGCGTCGTCGCCTGGGTTTGTCAGTGGCAACAATGCAAGCGCCGGCCGGCCGGGCATGCTAAAAGGTGGCGCGTTTGACGCGATACAATACGCGTCGCTACATGTCGGTTATAGGGAAGCAGCCAATCGGCGCGCGCGCCAGTTGAGTACATACATTTTCCTGTGGTCGCGCCCATACAAGAACCAAGTGAAGGGCCGCTATTTTCTCAAAAATGCGAAAAATCAGATCGGAAAATCGGCTCTCCGCCGATGACTGCATCATCTGTACAGCTCCTTGCCAGGTGAGACTCGTTGGCTCGCCATTCTTCCTTTCGCATCGGCAGACACAGACACAAGTTGAGCCAGCACCCACCACAGCCCATGACGACACAGGACAACAGCAGCAAGAAGCCGCAGCGCACCAGCCCCGACTGCAGCGCGCCCGAGCACAAGCGCGTGCGTCTCAGCCCGCCCATGCTGCCGCAGGTCGCGTCGGCAGCCATGCCGACCTCGCTGCCTCCGCTGCCGCCGCTCAGGAACTTCACAGCTCAGCCTCGCGCCGCCGCCTCTTCGCCTCCGCCCGCAGTCAGCAACGCGCCCAAGCTGGCGGAGCTGCGGCGCAAGTACCTCGAGGACATCGCCATGGTCATCCAGGAGCTGCAGACCGTGCTCACCTTCTGCCCCGGGTCGGCGTGCCCCGAGTCACCCGTGGACCCGTCGGTCGTGCTCAAGCTCGTGCGCACCGTGCAGACGCTGGAGAAGCTGCGCTCGCTGCTGCTCATGAACCCGGCGAGACTGCGGCGGGTGTCGCTCGCCCAGCTGGACACGGTCGAGCAGCAGATCAAGATGAACCTGCTGCCGCTCGCCACGCTGTTCCGCAGCTTCGACAGCGAGAAGGCAGGCAGCAAAGGGCAGGCCAAGGCCCGAGCGGCGTCACCTATTGTCAACAACAAGATCAAGATGGAGCAGCAGCAACAACAGGAATGGAGCAACCGCTGCAATAACAAGTCGCCGCGCTCGCCCTCGGGGGCGTCAGTGGCGCCGATCCCTCGACATGACTGGCGCTTTCTGTCCATGGCGCTCAGTCTCAGTCTGTAGGTTTAGCAACTCTATCCAAACTCGTCCCAGACAATTCCATATAATGAACGAGCTAATTTATTCTAGAACTTGCAGGCTTGATGGAGCCAGCACTACGTAGATGATGAAGAACGCCGTCAGCAATTCAGAAACAGAAACCAAGTGTCTATCAAGGTCGACGAGGTGGTAGACATGCCTCGGGATCAAATGTATCCGGGACTGTCGAAACCTACGCGCCGGAAGCTGGGTACGCATGGAACAGGTCCAGCGAGGTGTCGACTGCTCCCGCGCTTTCCCACTGCCGAATCACCTCGCGCGAGCGGAGGTCGGCTTGCCGAATCGGCTCTGGCACGCGATACTGCGAGCAGGCCTGGGCGATTGCGACGCTCGAGTCCAGCGACAACATGTGCCCCACCGACACGTAGACGGGATTCTTGACGCCAGCTGTGCCACACAGCGCAGCTCCCCACACCTGGAGATCGCAGAGCCCCACGTTAGAGAACTACGATACCCTCCTACTTCTATTTAGATAATAGAAACACAACAACCTTGCCAGATTTCCCAGCGAGCTTGACCAGATCGTGGTGCTCCTCTCGTGCTCTGGCCATGAGACCTTTCACATCGAGTTTCGTGAGACCGTCTACGTGGAGGAAGGTCTTGCCCACGCCAATCGTCGGGATACCTGCCAGCACGCCGAAGTGAGACGCCAGCCCGAAGCCCTGAGGGTGCAAGACGCCGTTGCCATCGACCAACGTCACGTCCGGCAGTAGATCTGCAACCAGCAGCATCACGTCAGCGACATCAATTCAATTTAAACCGGCAGTGATAGTATTTTCATTTCTACCCACCTGGGCGACGTCGACGCAGATCATCATACAGCTTCGTCAGCGCTGGCACCTCGCGGAATGCCAAGAACCCGGCAATGTACGGGGCAGGCAGCGACACGTACGTGAAGGCCTCGTACAGCACCGAGAGCGACGGATACTCGAGCACCACGATGGAGGCGCAGGCGTGCTCGTTCGAGCCTTTGAGGAAGCTGATGTCCACTCCAGCGACTCGCTTGAGAGCTTTGCGGTCCTTAGTGTCGTCCATTGGGGCTGCATCGCCAGCATCGCCAGCATCAGGACCGAGCTGCCACTGCACCTCGTCCCTCTCGATCAACTGCGTCTTGAGCTGCAGCTGTTCCGCTGTGTTTCGTCAATTGGAGGCGTCAGATAACCAGAGCGGAACAAACAAACGCGTGATAGAGATAGAAGACGATGCACCTGTCCACTGTTCGCGCGTTGCGGTGGTGTCTTCGCTTGCCATGTTAGTGTTGCTGTTGCTGCGACTTGCGACTTGTGAGCCCAAAGCGACAATGAAGACGCTGTTCAAGCCGAATCACGGTTTCTACCAATCAAGCGGAAGTTGCCTTTTCGTGAGTGATGGTGGCTTCAGAAGTGTCCTTGAGGACACCTGAACTGTGCCAGCGATTCCGTCACAATTTCATTTGTTTTATGTTTTGCTGTTCGAACTTCTACTCCACTGCAGTGACCGGGTCTTCGGGGAGCAGCTGCTTCACGAGCTCCTTCTGCTCGGCCGAGAGCTTCTTCGGGAAGCGGATCTCGTGGTGCACGTGCAGGTTGCCGAGCTGCGACGGGTAGTTGTGCACGGGCATGCCCTCGCCCTCCACGGTGCGGACCTCGAAGGGCGTCGTGACCTTGGCGTCGGTCAGCACCACCGTGCGGTCGTCCAGGTGCTTCATGGGCTTCTTGTAGCCCAGCAGCGCCTCCTCCAGCGAGATCTCCAGGTCGTAGTGGAGGTCGTCCCCCGCGCGACTGCAGCACGATGATATGCACACAACTGAAGCATTAGAACGACCATACAGAAAGCCATACGAAAGCCCGCGAACGTACCGGAAGCGGTTGTGGGGCACCTGGTGCAGCCGGAAGATGACGTCCCCCGGCACCATGCCCGGCCGCTGCTCGCTCTCACGCTCGAACACAATCTGGTGGGTCGACGGCATGCCTCGCTCGATCTCCGCCGTCAGCACCTTGTCCTCCTTGACGACCTTGTTGCCGTGGCAGAACGGGCACTTGTGCTTGAACGTCTTGCCGCGTCCGCCGCACTTGGGGCACGGCTGCTGCATCTGCACCGTGAAGCCCGGACCCATCTTCTGCTCTACCAGCACGTGGCCCGACCCGCCGCACGTCTTGCACGTGGTCGTCTTGCCGCCCTTGGCGCCCGTGCCGCGGCACTTGCGGCAGATGACGCTGCGCGAGAACTGCGCCTGCTTCTGGGCGCCATTGTACAGCTCCTCGAGCGTCACGGGCATGTCCACGGCCGCGTCGGGGCCGCGCTGCTTGCCGCCGCCGCCGAAGAAGGCGTCGAAGGGGCTGGACGGGCGTCCGGCCGACTGCTCCTCGCGCTCGAGGCCCTCGAAGCCCTCCAGGTCGTACACCTGGCGCTTCTGCGGGTCCGAGAGCACCTCGTAGGCGCGCGAGATCTCGTGGAAGCGGCTCTCGGCGTCCTCGTCGCCTTTGTTCTTGTCCGGGTGGTACTTGAGACTCAGCTTGCGGTACGCCTTCTTGATCTGGGCCTCGCTCGCCTCCATCGTGAGCCCCAGTGCTGCAAGCACACACTTTAGTTAAGTATCCATAACTATAGAAAATTGTAGCCATGATAGAACTGGGGCATACTCTCGTAGAAGTCGACGTGGTCATGCTTGTGCTCGTGGTGGTGCTCCTGGTGGGCCCCTTCGAAGCCGAAGTTGAAGCCGAACGCGCTCACGTCGCTCGCGAGCGTCAGCAGCGCCAGAGTCAGCGCCAGCAGCAGCAGCACGGGGCTCCGTCGTCGCGTAGCCATGGCGATCCGCGAGCAGCTTCGAGCTTCGAGCACCAAGTTCCACAAGTCCACGTGGAAAGTGACCGGGATACGACTGTAACTCGTTTAAGTACGTATAACTATGATGCAGCGTATGCTCTATGATAGGTATTTGATGTTTCCGACAAAGATCTTAATGAGATGGCTACATGAACTTCAACTTCGAGCGTTTTACGTTGATCATAATTGTGGGAGTCCAGGCACTTCCTCTATAGCACGACGCACCACCGGTCGAAGAACTTGGGGTTCTCGTCCAGCTGCCCGTGGACGTTCGCTCGGTCCATTTGCGTGAGCATTTTCGTGCCCGTCGGTCTACCCTCCAGGCGTCTGGCTGCGGGGACGAGCCGCATCAACTGGCGAATGTCGGTGTCTGAGATGTACGGGTCAAGATACCAATCCCGGGACTTGACGCTCCCGTCGGTGTTATCGGTACTTTCGCAGTGACTGAAGTTCAGTCCGAGCGCCAGCAGAGCGAGCGCGTTGTGGGTGAATTCGGAATCGCCGCTTTCGACGAACACCGAGTCCGAAACTGCACAACAGACAACGATTAGACTTGCGTTAATTTCAGCAGAGTTCACAGCTTAATCCATGCGGCGCACGTACTCTTCCACGCCACAACGGTGGAGCTCTCGAGATTCCACTGCAACGCAGCACGGAGCCCTGCCAGAAACGGATGGCAGCCCACGTTGGAGACGTGCTTTTCGATGAACACCTCCATACGATCCATCATCTTTGTGTGATTCACGATTGAGCGCATGTAGTCGTGCTGCACACGCACTGACAACTGCTGTCGTCCGCTATCGTCCGTCCAAAGCTCAAAATTGGTGCCCTGTGTTTCCTTCGCTTTGGCATCGAACTCCGAATACTGCACCAAGTCGCGAGCGCCACGTCAGCAACAATGCAAGCATAGCCTTTCATCATGCAACTAAAGTCACACTCACCCTTTTCTTGAAGACGTGATTGTGATACCCCGCGCGCACTTCGTTTTTCACCACCTCCAGCATCTGAATGCTGTCGAAAGCAATACGCGCCATCAACTACTCCGCTCCTTACAGCATTCCCACCACATCAAAAACTCGCACTTACTTTTCGCTGGAAGTGTCCTCGTGCCCAGGCACCATGCACTTGTGCAGCCCGAACAGCTCCACGAGTTCATTGAACTGCGCATCATCTCCGGAATCATCCACCGTCGAAATACTGATCACATAACAGCACCATAAGCGTCACCATTAGCCCATCGGATAACCTTTGAAACAATATCTGTAGCAAACCTGATCTCGTCCACTTTGCTCGCTTCGAAGCAGTCTAGCACGCGCTTGGCCGCCTCGTCCTGCTCGTAGTAGAACTTGGCGCAGACTTCGCGCCAGCGCTGCTGACGCACGACGCGGTTGTCCTCGAGCTTCTCACAGCAGCAACCTTAAGCGCAGACGCACACAATGAGCCGCTGTAACCCCATCACCTCGAGCCACGAGCGTCCGTGACCGCCAGTCAACGCACCGTCGGCGCCCATGATCTCTTCAGATGTGCTGCACTGCTCGTCGAGTTCGAAAATGAGACATAACTTACAGTACCGTATCTGCCAATCAGCATGGAAAGGATCATTTGATTGGATAAAAAAGAAAGTGTCCTGCTAATGTAGCCATATTGCAAATGGACATACAGTATTTGTCCTGCTGATAATTAATCAGTCCACGAGCGCGTTCAGCAGAGCTTGGCGCTGCTCCTGCACTTCTGGGTCGGCCGAGCGAGCTTCCTCGTCGAGACCCTCGAAGATCTCCTCGAAGCGGTCGAACTGCACCTTGGCGCGCTCCATCTCGTCGTTGTTGTACAGCGTGATGGCATAGTTGAGGTGGAACATGTGATCGCTGCCTCGGTTCACAAGCAAATAGGTGTTAGTCAGTAGCAACTCAAGTTTCTTAACTGTTGAAGCAGGCCGTACCGTTCCATTTCGATGGCCTTGTCGAACGCACTGCACGCGTTCTCGAAGTCGTCCAGCCGACTGAGCGTGATGGCCAAGTACATGTACGAGCTCGGGAAGTCCGGCTTGAGGTTGATCGCGGCACTGAAGAAGTGGAAGGCCGACGCGTACTGGCCCGTGTTGAGGTGCACCAGCCCTAAGTTATACGACGTGATCCACTCGAACGGGTCCAGGTACAGCGCGCGCTTGAGGCAGGCCACGGACGCCACGTAGCGCTGCTTGCCGAAGAAGCACATGCCGACGTTGTTCCAGAGCTGCGCCGAGTTGGGCGTTTGCGCTGCAGCCACTCGGTACTTGACGAGGGCAACGTCCATGTCGCCGTGGTCTTGGATGATGGAGCCCGCCGCGAGAATGGTCTTCGGGTTGCGCGGGTCGTGCGTGAGCGAGTTGCCGAGATAGTCGAAGGCGCGAAAGTTCTCGCCAACGCGCAGATACAGCAGCCCGAGAGTCGTCAGGATCTCGGGATTCTCTGGTGAGAACTCCAGTGCTTCCAAGTACACGTTGATCGCAGCCTTAAAGTCCTCGCGCAGCGTGTGCACCTTGCCGAGTTGCAAGAAGGTCGCGTCGTGGCGGTTGATCGTGTTCGCGCGCTGGAAGTTCTGCGCCGCGCGGTCGTAGTCCTTGAGGTACATGTGGCAGAGGCCAATGCTGTGGTAGATCTCCCAGTCGTCCACTCGCCCCATGGTCAGGATCTCCTCGTACACCTCGATCGCGGCCGTGTGCTTGCCCAGCAGGTAGAGCGACCTCCCGACCTGCTTGAGGTTCTCCTTGTTCTCCGGGTTCAGACACGCCGCGGCTTGGAACAGCTGCAGACTCTCTTGGATGCGGCCGGACTGCCGCAGGATCAGTGCCTTCACGTACAAAGGGTACTCACTGAGCCCCTGGTGCTCTCGCAGCACGCCCTCGATCACGCGCAGACACTCCTTGAGTTCGGAGCGCAGGTACAGCCGATGCAGGTACCAGTTCCGCGCCGACGGCTCCGACATGTGGCTGCTGGAGCTCGTGCGCGCGCCATGGTGCGACCGCGGGGACCGGATGCTGTCCAGCGAGCTCTCCTTGGGCATCTCTTCACTTCACTCGCTGCTGCGCTGCACGACGGACGCGAAACGACGCGAACGGAGCTCTTCGTCGAAAATGTATCCATTCCTCAAAAGTCTTACCCCCGCCTCGTTTCTGGTCAATAATTTGACCAAATGTTCAAAGGGTGCACTAAGTTTTGGGACGGTCTCAGTTGATCAAAAAGGAATTGATAGGCGAAAGTCCACAGTCCGAAGCAGAGGAGGAAGATGTCGAGTGCCCCTCAACGCGAGCGCCTGGCCGTGCTGCAGCCTACGGGCGAGGTGTTCGTCAACGGGTTGGCGTCCAGCTACGACGACGAGTTCCCGGGCTCGCAGCGGCTGGCGGCGCTGATGACGCGCGAGGACTTCGCCAAGGCCGTTGCCACCATCAACGACGCGCTCATGGACCACTGGCCCTGTTTGCCCTGCAAGGGCTTCGGCTACGGCTGCTGCGTCTGCACGCTCGGCCTGTCGTTGTACTGCGCGGCGACGCAGGTTCAGGAGGCGGAGAGTCGGCTGCAGCTGCAGTTGAGGCGCATGAACGAGCAGAGGAAGTTCAAGGACAAGGGCATCCAGTGGCGACTCGAGCGGACGTGGTGGAAGCGCTCGTCGTGCATCGAGATCTCGGTGGACTCGCAAGCTGCTGCAACGGGGAGTGAGAGTAGTGAGGCTACTGTGGTGGAGAAGGAGAAGGCGGATGAAGCGGTTCAAGACGAGACGATGAGCGATCGAGTCGTGTGAAGAGGCCGTGGTTCGCACAAGGCACGTGAGCGAGTGCTGGATCCAGCAGTCAGCTATTATGAGGCTTTGTACGAGCGAAGCAAATAATACATGTAACCAATGTTTTGGATAGCAACGGCAATGCCGTTCCCGCACTGCGGCTGTTTTGGTGGTAAGAGTGCGCGCCTTCGGCAGATTACCGTATGTAAAATCCCTTCCAATTACATTATACATGTACTGCACCCGACATGGCTGCGCCAATATTTTCTCTGTCCAGGTCATCAGAAGTAGCGTCGACTCCAACGCCGCGCAATAAAATCTCTACTCTATTTGAACACCATAGACGGCCACCAGTGGTGGCCCACCACAGTGACGGCCGTCAGAACTGTACATGTCCCACAGACTGTGGTTCATGCTCCATGGTTGTGTTTGATATCATAGGATCTGAGGGAAGGAAAACATCTGGGACCCAAACGACGGACCAATGGCCAAGCAAGTTTCTTACACCTTCGCTGTTCCAACGTCGTGCGGTGTACCGCCAACAACCTGGCTAGACCTCCTCAGTTCTCAATTCGACTCCCAGCACCCGCACCACCGAATTCAAGACAATGCGCTTCTGCTACTTCGCTCTCGCCGCGGCCGCCACTCTCGTTGCCTGCACCAACGCGGTCTCCGCTGAGACCCAGCTTTCGCAGACGATCCCGGAGCTCGTGGCTCGCACTCTTGCCGATGCCCCGATCAACGATGCCGTGAAGCGGTCTCTGCGTCGCCACGCGACGCTCGACGAGGAGGAGCGTGGTGGGGGAGGATACAACACCAAGATGCTGGTTGACCTTGCGAAGAGCAAGAACAATAAGCTCCCTGGAATCATTGCGAAGCTGTCGAAATCAGGCCAGAAGACGGTCATTAACACGTGGAGGAAGCAGAGTAAGAATTTGGAAAGTGTCTATAAGATGCTGGGAATGAAGAGTATTGCCGACGTGAAGCACCCCAACTACCCGGTCTTCCAGCGATTCGAGAAGCTTGCCAAGAAGCAGACGAACATCGCTTAGATGGTATTTCCGACATAAGGATTAACACAGGTATCTTGATTCTCATGCTCTACATTGCTGTTAGAGGCTAAAGAAGCACTACGTAGACCTAGACAGTAGATTGGATCCAACACGGGCCACGAGCTCCTCGCGCTGGAACTACGTAGTTATGATGTGGCAGTTTAAACAAATACAACAACGTCTGGCCACAGCACTCCCTCCGGAGTTACTGCTATCCCAGAATTAATGGCTCCTCAAGAGGAGTGTCACCGTTGCCGAATCCATATTCCATGTACACACCACGGCGTAGCCAGAGTAATCTAGTACTTCTCTGGGCCCACTTAAGAAACAACATTCGGCATTAAACCTCAATTTGATGTGGACCACATGTCACATATGATTGGGTATAATCAACTGTTTCATCTAACTATTGGCCAAAATAAATGGGTCTGCACATGTCGAGATAATCGCGTAGAAAAACCTCAAACTGTAGCCCTTCAAACTCGTCTCCAACAGGCGCTACAACATCGACAACCGAACATAAGGGTAAAGCAGTCACTCGCGATTACGGTGATATTTTATTTTCTAATATCGCTAATTTTTGACGGCACATCGCTAAAAAGCCTAATGTTGCCTAAAACGGACTTCAGATAAAAGGCTGTTTCTCTTTTCTTTCTGCTGCTAGATTTTTTTAAATCATAGCGTGAAACGGGGCAAATGCGCAGCTTTCGGTTGAGGTATTGCGAGTCACCAAACGATTTTTTTGTAAAAAGTTATGTCCAGAAAACCGAAGTGTTGTTTCTTATGTGGTACTACGTAGTTGAGGAGAATAGTGGTTGGTATAACGAAGAAGAATTTCGAAAGAGCTGCAACTTATTTTAGTTAAAGCACTTTAACCATTCACATTTTAATAAATCCTTTAAAGGCAGTAAACTGTGAATGGTTAAAAAGTGTTGATAGCTAACAAACAGTTTGAAAACGCTAGTGTTATTAGTGTTTGTGCGAACGCTAGGACCATGATAATAGGGTGGCAGGTAGATTTGCTGTAGCATCCATGTATTTGTTGGATAGGAGTAAGGTAAGGTGCCAGTTGCGTGCCTACAACCAGTTCCGTGCCTACTTGTCTTAGCCAATTAGCATCTTCTCCTTGTTAAACTCTCGTAGTCTATTGGTAGATTTTTCCAGCGTCACATGCAATTTCCGGTGATGAGCCTCCTAGGATTTCCATAGCATACAAAAATGCTATCAAAAAGAGGCAGGAAACTGGCAGCTCACTCCAAATCTACAAGCTTTTCATAACAATAACAAAAAGTTCTGCAAAATTTACACGGAACAGCGTGAAGTACATAAATTCAGCCCAATCGCGCAGATTTAGCGGGTGCAATCAGATTTCAGAATGGACAATTCAATGAAAAGTTATGCCACAGCAAGTCCGCAAGTTCGAAGGACGGCACGAAACTGGCAGAAGACCTTAAAGTATATTTTCGTGGAACCTCAGGACTGAACGCCGGAGGTCTGGACAAATTAGTGAAGGCAACGAGGCTGCGCATCCGACCAACTCGAGACGTGAGCAATAATGGCTTGTCGGCACGAAGGTTGTACCAAAAGTAAAATGCCACAACCCTCGAGAATGAAGCATGCCAACGACGCGATAAGTCACAATTACGAGTTCTTACGGGGCATTATCCGGGCGTTTAGGAGTCCTGACACATCATACCCAACAGAGTAAAGGCTATTGTCTTTTGCTCCCGAGTATCGACACTTGAACCTTCGGGGAATATGCAAAAAAATACTTTTCCCAACATAGAGATATTACACGTAAGCCTTTGAGCACCACCACCCAACAAGAAGTGGTTTAGAACCATAAACTGCATTTACTCTACGCGCGGCATGAACTTTAAAAGCACAGGAAACTGTGCTTCCTTCGCCGGTAGTAATCCGGATACCCCTCAGCGACGACCCAGTCAACTTCACGCCCTTGAGCTTCTCTCTTGCGCAGCATTTGCGTAACAGTTCCTGGCTTGAGTCCAGCTTTGTACCATTCGCGATACTGCTTCTTTGCTGCAAGATTATCAACGATGTAGTCGAACAGGCCTCTCTCCTCATCACTTGCGTCTCCTTCCTTTTCAGCAGTCTTGTCAACCCTCAGGCCTCTCGTCTTCTCTTCATCACTGATATCTGCAGCAATAGCGCGAACGGCCTGAGCGTGGTCAGGTGAATTTGCAAATGAACTGGACCAGCCTCCATCATTCTTGAGAAGTCTAAAACACTCGGTCAATAAGACAGCACTTACTGTAAATTGACCTAAAGACGTTACCGGTTCATCACCGGTGTCGATTGGAAGGGGGGAACATCGCCCGAATTAATCCTGTTTGGGCTGGTCTATCAGCACTTCGTCGCTTCTTACCCCAGTATAATCATTATTGTGTGGCGCTTTTGAATGGCAAAAAGAAAAAATTACAAAAGAGAACAATATCTAAGCAGCGAAGCGGTCTGTCCTGTAGCTTAATGAAAGCAGCGCCTGATTCTGAGTGAGAAGTTCCAGCCAAGGAGAGGAGTGCCAGTTTACTACAGTGTACCTACCGTATTGGGCTCCGACTGGGGCTTGTACAACAACGGTAAGGGCGTTGTCAATCGTGAGCATCTGGTCTTCACTATACACAGACACAACAATAGTACTAACGTTGTCAAGCGTGAGTACTTCGAAGTATTTGGTCACAGACGTTGTGATCTAGACTCATCATGTTTGACACCATCCATCGGATTGCACAGCACTCAAATGAGATGCCCAGACAGACGGTATCCGTACGCATTCTACTGCATTGCGTGGCATTAAAAGTTCTCAGCTCCGTCGCAAGACCCCCCCCCCCTTTCGTGGACTTCTCAGATTGCAATGTGCACCAAGAGTTCTCCGTTCACCAAGCGCCTCTTGCTATCAAGACCCAACTCGAAAGCCAAGGTGCGGTTGTCCTGTGTCCTGCTCCTTCTGGCTGCTACCGCTCTTTCCAGTGGCGACGCGCGGCCCACGATCCAGGAATCTGACCAAGCGACGACGCGGATGCTGCGCGCGATCGATGCAGACGACGGCGTTGCGGAAGAGCGGGGTGGTTTCACGCTTGGCTCACTCAAGAAGCTCATTCTAGGGGCCTCTGCCAGGGAAGCAGCCAAGAAGGCAAAGCAGTACCAGGCATACCAGAAACTTCTCGACTACGACCACCTCCTCTATCCAAAGATGGTTGAGTGGCGCGGCAGCGGAAAAACAGCGACCAAAATCTACAAAAGCATGAGAAAAGCTGGTAGAACGGTTGAAGAGGCCGAGACCATCTCTAAGCGCTACAGTGTCTATCTCCAAGAGATGCTACGTGCGGGCAAGTAAGTTTTCTCGAGGACAGAACGTGCCCAGCACAACGAAGACTGGAAAATGGCAAATGGACGAATCTACAGTGCAAAAATGATGTACTTCTTGCTTCTTCTTCGCCATCTCTAATTCTTACTGTACCCGATACGGTCTTTTTCACGTGTGCAAGCTCCCAGAAGGAGAAAGACTCTTGAAAACCCGCCGAAGCTATGAAAGTAACGAGATATTATATTGTGAATTCCGGCCAAATTTGCCGAATCGGGTCTGTTTTGGGGCCCCTGTCCAACCGACCAATACAAACATCAAGTCATTTGCCGAATCGCCGGCCAACAAACATATGGTTCTGCGCCCGCATGTCAACTTGACATGTCAAGACATTGTCAAGCCCAATCCGTACTTAGTAGGGAGTCAAGGGGGCATAGCCCGGCGACTAAAGTCAACCCAAGTGCTTGGCGATTCGCCGGCGGTTTGCCACGGTCGATTCAATCCGCCCCGCTCGGAAAATTAGAGTAGAACTCACAATACTGGGATAGGAAGCAACGTCAGTGCTGCTATCGCAGACCAAATAGGATTATATCCGTGGTACGTCAAGTCAAACGATGACCCCTCTTGACATCTAGCTGGTATATTTTCTTGAAACCGGTAGGACCGGTGCTTCACTGGGCCCTCCAAAAGGTTTATATGCGCGGGCAGACTGAACCGGTAGGATACCTATCACACCGGTATAGCCCCGGTGATGCACTGGGCAGATCCAACCGGTGTGCAACCGACGACACTGGTATGATCCAATACATATATTCGAGCAGTGAACGAATTGAAGGAAAGACAGCTTACCCGGGCCCATGGGTCCCGGGGAGAGATGTAGTTCGTAGAACGAACTGTGCGCTAGGGCGGCATGCCGCTTCGTTGGATTCTACTGCTTTGTATGCTCCGAGGTACTTTGCTGTGTTTATTTGACTTTGCCGCTTATTTGTATTTCTTTTTCTAATGTTGTACTCTGCTATTTGCTTTCACGTGTTACTCCTTTTTCGTCTTTTTCATTGTCTAGTATTTCATACCCCCAATGTATCCATACCGCGGGCTTCTGCTTCTGACTGGAGACACGTCATCCGTAGGCGCAGCTTCAGGTGGGTGTTGTACCTTGTAGGCATTTACCTACCGTGTTTGCTCGTTTGTCCCCACGCAGTCTGTCGTCAAGCCGACTCCTTCTATACAAGGATAGCTCATTTAGATGACAAACCTTTTCCCGCCATACGTTGTTCGGTGTTCCAGGGACGGATCCATGCTCGTCCTATCTAGCCAGATACAAAAACATTGTAACCACCGCCACTATCATGGTCGACGGGGTACCCACCTCACTTGCGTGCCGTCGCGCAAAAATCTAAATGAAGGCGACGCAAGTTGTGAAGTGCGGTGGTCCTTTTATAAAAAAAGGTGACACTTCATCATGGTCAAAAAATATTTGATCTTGCGTAGAGCAAAGGTGTGTTGAAGTTCGGTATAGTCCTGTACCGTCGTCTACCGGTAGAAAACCGCGTTGTGAGCACGGTACTGCGTTTCCTGCTCCTAACGATAGTTCTTAGGAACGATTGAGGCGGACTGTAATAGCACTAGAGATAACCATTTGCATTTTATAGTATAAAACTTCTACAAGCTGCAAACAGATCTCAGCCAAGGTTCGCATTTTTAATTTTGTAAAGTATGGCCACTCGACATCTGGCATCTACAGTCTTAAGGCCAATTTCGGGCAGATGCTGCGGCTGCGAAGCAGGCGCAGGAGATGACCGTAGCTCATAAGAAAAGTAATCAATTAAAATAAAGAGGGAGTTTATACCAAAATCCTCCTTCGCGGAGCCCTAGTACCTCATTAATAACCAGCAGGTTAGAGCTCTGTCATAACTTCGCGCATCTCCTTGAGGACGTTAGACCCTCTGCGATCATCCAGAAGAAGAAGTTGGACGTGGAGACACTGCCAGTGGCACCAAGCTATCACGCTTCGAGTCTTGAAAATAATACTTCGTAGGGGGCACGACCCCCGTGAACTTGTTGTATCTTGATTGCTTGTGCATATTGATGCAACCGACAACACGCAATAAACTTTGGTCAACGAAGTTCCAGTTGTGCAAGCTCTGGTTTCACGAACTTCACCAAACAATACAAAACGCCAGAAGCAATTAGCTACACGCACGATCTTGTAGAAATCGCAAAATGGAGCCAGGAATCACATGCTCTTATTGTGCCTTTCTGGCAAAACGCCCTCCGATTTACGTATTTTAATACGGGTCATCTCTTGCGATCAGGCGAGATTTCGGAGGATGTCCCTGAGTCGAGTATCGATGCACTGCTTATTTGGTTTTATGTACCGAATAACCTTAGTTATGGGCTCTGAGGAACGACTTCCAGTCCTAACCATGCGCTTCTGCTTCGTCGTTCTCGTGGCTGCGGTCGCCCTCTTCTCGACCACCAACACTGTGGCTGCTGCCAACACCAAGGTGGAGTCGTCGGATGCTGTTCGTGCGCTCGCTGACCAGAACAACGTGGACGTCGAGCGTCTCCTGCGGATCGTCGAAGAGACCGAGGACGTCGAGGACCGCGCCGTCGGCGCCTCGGTGCTGCAGAAGCTCAAGGACGCGGTCATGAAGATCAAGTTCAGCTCCTGGTACAACGCCAAGATGACGCCGACGGAAGTCAACACGATGCTCATCGCGCAGGGCGGCAAGGTGGACTGGGTCGTGGCCACGGCCTACGCGGCGTACTTCCGCAATCTCAAGTACGGCCCGTACGGGATCGACATGGTCAACAGGAAGAAGAAGGAGGAGGAGGACACCGCTTAGTTTCGCCTTTTTTAAGAAGGTCATCGAAGTCCCTGGCCCCCAGCCGTTGATAGTCGAGATGCACTCTTGATACGTGATAATTGAATGGATATGTAAGCAGACGAAGAGCGCGCGCTGAGGTGGGAGGAGGGGGGATGGAAGGCAAAGAGGTTTTTCATGCAGCAGGCAGGTACGCGGTGAAGCTCGCCACCATGGAGGCAAACCAGCCTGGAAGCGCGCGTATTTTCAAAATACGCTTACCTTAGTGACGTGGAGGGAGATCCGGAACACCATCGCATCGGTGCACTCTTCCCCAATCTCGTCGTTGCGGTAGGATAGACTCCAGGATGGTGTCGGCCGGACCCCATCCGAAAGTACATCCCAACGTGGAAACAACCCGCGACTGAAAACCAGATGGGAGTGTGTCGAATTCACGTTGAAGACGCTGCAGGTGGTGACCTCATTGAAGCTGCAGCGTCACTGAAGTTGCGAACTCACTGGAATCGATCGGTGCTTGGCTAGTCGCCGGTGGCTCAGCACCACACTCGTAGCGAAATCTGTTGGGTCATCCACACCGAAATGATAAATCGATATTCACTGGGTACAACTCACAGTTCGTGTGAGTTGTGGATGCTTACATAGGAGCCTGCTTCAGTACGTTATGTTGCTGCACGACATAATGCCCGCAAGGCGACTGCAGCAACTCCCATAAGCCAAAAATAGACACTTTGATACAATGGATACCGTAGTAACTGAAAACGCTGGTAGTGAGGGGCGCACGCACATATATTTCAAGCTGCCAGTTTTAACATGTCGACCAAGTTCCAGAGCAGCCTCGCATCGGACTGCCAACAAGCACTTCTGCCACTTCAGTACTTCGTCCACTCTCAGCGACGCAACTTGCGCAGAACATGGAGAGCCGCAACCACCACGGACACTGATGAAGCCGCGGTGTGCAGCTTAGATGATCCTCCGTTGGTAGCTTGATCTGAAATTTGCGCTGTTCCAGAATTCCCATTGCGGAGCAAATACTGCCTCGCGTAACGGAGCAGCGGCACGGCTCGACCCGACGTCCACTTCGGATCCAGGAGCTGCACAAACCGCAAGAAGATCGCACAGCAGGCGACAGAGCTCAGTACCGAGGCCGCGACGAACTGCACGAACGTAAGGAACACCCTCCGACTGCCGCGTGACGCATAGAGCTGCATCACCAGCAACGCGCTCGACATCGCCGCCGTGCGGTTCAGCGTCGTGGAGCTCGGGATCTTGACCAGCTCCTTGCACCCGTTCCACACCCGAGACGCCACGATCTCGTTCAGCACCTGCTCTCTTGACGGCGGAGTACGCACGGTACGCACCACGTCGGGGCGGTGGAAATCAAACCCTGCAGTCGTCGAGGCCGTCAGCGTCAGCAATTTCCTCTGCTCGGCTCTGATATCCGCTTCAGCTTCAGTCTGCTCCCGCACAGCCAACGTCCGCTCTTGTGTAGCCATCTTGCTCGCGTCTTTGGTGTCATCCTCTTGGTCACTGTCACTGTCTTCTGCTGGCAGCAAAACTTTCTGCATGGAGTCCGGCAGCAAAGGCAACAGGCCGGGCTTGGTCAGCATCATTTGGGACTCGGGCGGCATTTGCTCCATCAACCTCATCTGCTCGGCCCTGGACAGCGGCAGCAGGAAGGGCAGGAATGGAGCCACTTTGTCGGAAAAGCTCGTGTCGGTGAGCCATTTCAGCAGCGACGTCTGCAGTAGAAGCTCCTGCGCGGACTGCGGCAGGAACCCAATTAAGCCCCTGGTGCGGGCCTCCTCTTGGTACCATTTCCAAATGGGTACACTCCACGGATGGAGCAGTATCAAAAACGGATAAGTGCGTGCTAAATACGAGTCGGTTTTGGACTACCACTTCGGCAATCCACAAGTGGTTTGTATGCGCCCGACGTCTGAAAGCCTTGAACACGCTTTCAGCCGGGTCTTCCCAGGAGGAGTATGCAGCTCAACGATCGCGAAAGTTTTAGCGTCGCGCGCCGCGCTTCCGAGCGCAGTAATGAAGGTGTCGTCTTCATCGCTGCCAAGCAGGCTGCTAACAATGCCCACTGTAGAGTTTATGATGAATATTGTAGCGTCCCGTGTAAATTACGACGGGTTATGAATATAATACATGTACCGCAATTCGCTTGTTGAGAGCTGCACCCGCGTATGAGAGGCACCTACATCGACCAATCATATGAAGCGATATACATACTTTTTTCAATCAGACCAATTATTATACCCGGCAAATAAGATATAACCCCAATATTACAGTTGTGACTCATACAGTACAACATGTTGAATTTTGTATATGATACTTTTAAGTACGAATACAGATCAGCATTACCGGGGTGAACATAGGGTGCAGCTCTCTACATGCGAATTGCGGTAGAGGTGGTTGGTTAGTAGCTATGCTACCGTGCCATCAGTAGGGTACTGTACTGCTCCTTGTGTCTTATCCCTAATGTAATACCCATGTAGACTTGTATGTCTGCTACACCTCTAGCTTCTTGTTAGAGGATTCCGACGTAGCCTTTTATATTCGTATGCAGTTCAGTTTTAACTGAACTGCACGCGAATATTATTGATGGCGTAGCGGCTTTTGGTTGAGTGAAGACGGAGTGGAAGCTGACCTAAATTGACGATTCATTTGGGAGAACTCGGCTAAGTAACCTGCATCCAGGTGAAGCGTGCGGACGCGATGTACTGCACTGGTACTTGCATTCACCCAGCTTGAAACAATCGAGGATGGACTTGTTAAGATAGTACATACAATCCTCTTCGGAGTGATATCCCGAATAGAAATACCCTCTGATTAGCACTAATAAAGGCTCTCCCGACGACAAATTCAAGTCAAAACATTCTCTAACCTCCGGATAGTGTTTAGTGATACGAGATTAGGCGTTATCACTATCCAGAGACCGTTAACTATTTGAATGTCCATTTCGTATGCCGGGCAAAGTCCACCACAACGTGGGTCGCTTGCGAGCATGAATGGACTCAGATCCTCTGGGTTTGCGCACATATTATTTAGTTTGACATGTTTGTGATTCTGGAACGTGTATTGTCGATTCTGCCCAAAATTGCGAAACTCGAGCGATTCGAGCTGTCACAAAAATCCAGCAGCGAAACGACAAGGCCATTTGATTCGCTATAAACAGAACTACTTTAGACCAATCACAATGTATTTCTCATGTTGAAGTGCTCGTGTTGAAGTGCGCAATTTGAAGTGAACAATGGAGGAAGCGGTAACCCGTCAGTACGCGCATCCGAACACGGTCTACCACTGCTTGTACGCGTACTACAAGCTCGGTTACACAAGGCAGCACCTGGGGTACATCTTCAACAAGTCCGAGCGCGCTATTTGCAACTGGATCAAGACCTACGAAGAGACTGGAGCCTTCCAACGCGCTCGGGTGCCCTCGGAAAGGACATTCTCGGAAAACCATCGAGCCTGGCTGCTAGCCTATTATCATGCTCACCCTCTTGCCTATCTTGACGAAGCCCAAAACACGTTTCAGAACGCTCATCGCCTCACGATATCGAAGACTTCGGTGTGGCGGATCATCCATGAAGCCGGCTTCACCTGGAAGGCCTTAGAGCGGCGGGCAATGCACATAAAGGAGCAGGACGTGTTTCGTTTCGTCGAAGAACTCAGCTGCGTGAACTGGAGGTACAGCAACCTTGTTTTCCTCGATGAGGTCTCTTTCGACAACCGAGGCATGATACGCAAGCGAGGGTACGCTCTTCGCGACAAGAAAGTCGCGATCCGAGGAGACTTCGAGCGGAAGGCCCCCGTGTCCGTCTTGGCATTCATCGGGATCAACGGCATCATCGACTACTTCAACACCGACGGGACCTTCGACCGACTGGAGTTTACGAAGTGCTGCCAAGATTTTGTGCACTCACACCGTGGGCACGTGGGCCTGTATCCTGGACGAAATTCAGTCTGGATCCTAGATGGTGCGGCAATTCACAGACACCCCGAAATTGTCCACTATCTCCGTAGCGTCGGTGTGGTTCCCATCTTTCTTCTAGCCTATTGTTCCTTTTTGAATCCGATCGAGTTCCTGTTCGGCTACGTCAAACGGTCGTGCCAGCGTCATTACACCGAGTCCAGCAAACGCGATTTGCTGCCGTTCATCGTCCAGACCTTCCGCCGCTTTGAAGGCTTCAACATGAGCGTTCTATTCGAAATTTCCGAGGTCGATTGATTGAATCGACCCAGCCGAATCGCCGCAAAACCGACAAACTCTCGTAAAATCATATTTTATGAAATACACAGGGTAAGACAATCACTCTGAACCCACGTGCAGATGCAATTCCGCATTTCCGCACTCAATGCAATGCAGCCGCCGTCAGGACGATCGTCTCGTGCGCGAAGCCATCAGCGAGTCTCGCCATACCCTGCGCGCGGGAATGTAGCGCGTCACGACCCATCAGAAGACCAGGAGACGCCGGATACTGTATTCGCAGCAGATCAAGCAGCTTCTGGCTTCGCCCAAGTCCTGCGCGCCGCTGCTGGAGCTGAGAGTCAAGCAGACTGTGTCGGTCAACAACGCGTCTCAGCTGGCTCCTCCCAAGACCTTCGAGCCCCTGTAGGAGCTGAGCACCAAGTCGATCAAGTGGTTCGAGAGAGCGCTGCTGCTGGCCTCACCCCAGACCGGCCCGTCGCTACTGGAGCAGGACCTGAAGTTGGGCAAGCAGTGCTCGAGCGCGTCGCGGCCGGGGGTGCTACCCCAGACATGCAAGCAGCCGCTGGAGCTGGTCACAGCGAAGAACGAGAAGTGCAAGAGCGAGTCGCAGCCGGAGGTGTCGGCCCAGACCTGCGAGCCGCTGCTGGAGCAGGCCACAGCGAAGGGCAAGCAGTACCTGAGCGAGTCGGAGCCAGAGGCACTACACTGGGCTTGCAATCAGCTGCTGGAGCTGCACAGACGATGAATTTGACAGCCCAAGCTTCGCAGAGGCGGGCATCAGCCGCAGATGCAAACCGATTGGTATCTGCTCCTACCACGACTCAAGCTGATGCAGTCCTTATGCCGCTGGTATCAACCCAGCAGCTCTACCAGCTCTTGGTACAGCCGATTGTCAAAGAAACCCTCAATCAGGGCGACACGTCCGGCAACGCGCTGGCCCCTGCTGTTATGAGTGTTGGCTCGTTCAACGAAATTGTCCACAAGATCTGGGAAGCTTATGCGCCCCGTGTGAAAACCCGAGCAGTAAAGACAGACGGCGTGTGGTCTACGGAGACGCCCGAAGCTGCTGAGTGGGCCAAGGTGATGCAGTTTAAGCTGAAGAAGCATGTTGTGGACCCTGCAAAAACGGATCAAGCGTGGCATCAATGACTGGTGTGGTATTGGAAAGTGGCAGTTTCCAACGCTGTTGACCCGCCAGCCCGACAATCAAGTTCAATCAAGGGGCGATCAAGGCGAGGTCAAGCGAGAGACGGAGATGGCTGCTTCTGATTGGATGATGACATTATCCTCGGTAGAGTGACAGGCAGTGGCCGAAGCCTCGTCGGGTCCTAATAGAACCCCGAACGAGGCTTCATGGTACCCACTTTTAGGTACAGATGCATTTAGTTACGTACTTCGGCCGCACTTATTAGTGTAGCCGCGGTCGTCATTTGATGTGTCCGGAATCGCCTTATTGCGATCGTTCACACTAGATATTTGTATAGGGACATAGGACTCATCATAGGATGGCCAGAACGAGGCCCCCAGGGCCTCAGAAAACTCAGTAATAAAAAGACAGTCTTCACCCAAAGCCAACAAGGGTCAAGTCCGACTTCGGAAAGTGTAGCTAGCTTATTGTAGTGCCTGGACACGCTCGGCTACGTGTGGATGCCTGTCGGGGAGCTTATCGTGCATTGACCGAGAGTTTCCTTGGTAGCGCCAAGAGTTGGCGTGGCCGGAGAGGCAGGAACGGTATTAAAGTATCGTTCGGTATATATTTGTGGGATTAGAGTGTCCCCGAGTGTATTAGTCTACCTACCGAGGTTTTACCTTGGTCCCCCTGTATAAGGCCTAACACGCCGGTACCCTTCCTTTCTGAGGGACTGCAATGGGGTTGCGCGAAAGCGCTACATAGTATCCTAACCTTAGCTCGTGGCTAGCGGTACAGATTTTTGGGATGACCGAAGACAACCTAAGGTGTACAGAGGCGCTTGCAACCGTAAGGGATCGTTCCTGGTCTTCAGGTTTTGATCCAATAAGCGCTTACCTTTGCGGGTTAGCGTGTTGTTGGTGCCTCTAATACCTTTTGGTAGAGGAGGATTTTAGTGGAATACCACACCACACTGGTCAAGCTACGTGGACAGACTGTGTCGCTTCTAATTTATGAGTATGGCGTTGGCATCGTTCGTGCGCAAGATCTGGATGAATTTAAGGCCGCCTGCATTCATCCTGAGCAAGTTGATCGAGCCGGAGCGACAGCTGAAGTCTCTTTGAGAGAAATCGTAGCAAACCTTCAAGTGGTATGGGCTGCTACGTTCCAAGGTGAAGCTGTAGTCTGGCGGATGTGGGGCAACCACATTATAAGAAATCTCAACCGCTCCACGTGGGAAACAGCCATCTTAGACCATCCGCCCGCCAGTGTCGCGAGTCTACTGCGCCCCGCAGACTCGACGTTAGAAAGCCACTTAGCCAACGTTACGCAATCAGCGAACGTGGCATTGGACTGCGTGCAAGGAGCATTGGAGGGTTATCGGGTGATTCGCCGTGACTGGGAAGCCTTGGACCGGCGCCTTGAAGAGTACGAACACTCGCAGAGCTGTGATTGAAGGATTTCTGCGCGACATTGCGCCTCCTTCCCGATGCTGCAGCTCGACAATGTTGCGGACACGGATCACATTGACTGATGCAGTGGATCCCAGTGGACTTCCGGACTACAATTGCGCAGAGTATTTTCGCTCAAGTGCAAGAGAAAAAAAACGTTGACGCAGCTCCTGCATTTTGGATTTTAGCTTCTTCGCGTCCTACTCTAACTCCGCAAATTCTAAGTTATCTTGCATGCGTTCGGGGTCGGTGTTGCGTTCTGGCGGAGGTCGGTTTTCAATGGTTAGTGGACCAACAGGGTCGAAGTGTCCTTGCCGTTTCCAGCCGCAGTGGTTGAAAACTTTCCCCATGTTGAAGCCTTCAAAGCGGCGGAAGGTCTGGACGATGAACGGCAGCAAATCGCGTTTGCTGGACTCGGTGTAATGACGCTGGCACGACCGTTTGACGTAGCCGAACAGGAACTCGATCGGATTCAAAAAGGAACAATAGGCTAGAAGAAAGATGGGAACCACACCGACGCTACGGAGATAGTGGACAATTTCGGGGTGTCTGTGAATTGCCGCACCATTGTCGTAATGCGGGTTGAAGGATTGTGAGGCGATGGACCCGAAGGTGACCCGAGAGAGAGCCACTTGAATTATGGGACACCCTAGCTCGGCGTCCCGTATAAAAGGCCGGCGACTGATTACGAAACCCGATGGCGTATTTACGGAGATCCAGAACGGGGAGGCCCGTAACAAGGACGATGACACCGCACGGAGCCAGCAGATGACGTCATGAGGTAAAGGCGTGCAGCATACTGGTTGGTCGGCCGGTCGGCAGACGAGCCGCCGGTAGATAGGCAGTTCAGTTCAGAATTTCCAACAACGAGACAAGGTACTTCTTTATATTAGTCTTTGTGTTGTGTGGTTAGCGCCTACGTGTGTGCTGTGACTGTTTCCTACCTACTTGCGAAGTGTACTCGGGGTTCTGGATTGATTTGGCCTCCCCGGTAACCTTCTAGTAGCGTAGTGTGTTGCATTGTCTGGACTGAGGAGATCAGCTCTCAGTGTTCGACAGTAGGACACTCTAAACGGTTTAGTAAGGTATTGGTGCGCGTCTCGCACTTTGGTTTGGACCCGCAGACTAGCTGCGGCAGGAGATCTCCAGTAGATCTCGTACATATTGTACAACAAGTTGTCGTACAGTGGGAAGAGTTACCTCGCTGTACAAGTGCATCCGCGACAGAGTTAACCTAAGTCTCTGCCTGCGAGTGTAAGGAACCCCATATTCACCCCTTCATATTACACGTCTTCTAGGAATTACGCTAGATAAAGATCCGAGTCTTGCTACAAGGGTACACAAGGTGAGGCCTAGAGATCTCGGGACTAGTTCTCGTTGTCTTTGGGTATTTGGCTTACAGGGGTAACCCCCTCCCCGTAGTTGCGTGGCAGGACACGTGTGGGAGTTTATTAGTTTTTATCTGAGGGACTCCACCACAATGGTGCGCGTGCCCGGATCTACTAGTCCGAAAGGGGGCGTGAAGGTGAAGGTTGAGGGGAGGGAAGACGGAACTCCGCTGGGACCGGCGGAAGTTAAACGTGAAAACACTAGGTCCACCGACGGACAGGCAATGGGGACGCCTGAACCGAAGGATTTCGTCTACGAAGAGAAGTTCCCCGTTAAGGCTCCGAAAGGAGCCGTCCGGGACTCGGTCCAAAAACCGAGTTCCATTGAACCTGCTGCTAAGCGGGACACCGGCGTCGCTGAAAAGCGAGGTCGAAACCTGGAGCGCGAGCATCTGAAGGGGGTCATCCCCGACCTCGCTGCCCGAAGCGATGCTCTAGACGCTGCGATGGACTACATGGAAGTCGAAGATGCGAAGAAGAAAGCCGAGAAGAAAACGGAGAAATTGGATATCTCGGCGCTAGCGGTCCATGGCCCCAGCAACGACACTCACGATGAAGACAAACGATTTTGTGAAGCCGAAGTCAACTACTTCCGTCAAGAGCTTGCGTTCCTGCTCCAGAGAGATCCGCTCCTGCGTAAGTTGGGGCTGACGATGCCATGGCCTCTCACGGGTCCAGTTCGCAACCCGCGCACGCTAACAATCCGAGATCCGCTTCACGCCGTCACGATGCTGTTCTGCGTGCTCGAAGATGCTGGTTTCAAGGTACATGAACAGCGGATCTCCACCGATGTACGCGAGTACGATCTGGAAACCACCGTCCTTACGCTCGCGCGGGTGTACGCAGTGTTGCAGAAGCTCGTCCCGAGTGCAGATGACTCATCCGCGCCGTTGGAGACCTCACACCTCCTCGGTTGGACGATTCACGGATCTCCTTCAAGTTTGAAGATGACGGTGACGCTTTCATGAGGAGCACTACCTCAACCAAGAAGCCTCCACCGGCCCCACGTGTGTCCCGCCGAGAACGACGTGCGCAAGGGATCCCAGCGATCGCTGCAAACGATGTAGGACGCGGGAAGTCTGCGCAAGTGTCAAATATTGCGCAGACTCGCCCAGCGAGAGGACCACGTGGGAGGATCCAGGAGGCTCAAGAGGTTGCAACAGAGCCCGATCGCCCCGGCGGTGTGGCTGAAGACCTTCTTTACCAGTTTGCGAACGAGCGAGACGAGCCTGAAGACGTTGAGATGCAACCAGTCACTGCGTCTCCCGCTCGGCCACGTATCGGGTACCGATCCCAGACACAACCGGAATACCAAGGAGATCTCCATGACCTATCCGATGACCTCGCCTATGATGGAGGTGGCGGAGCCGGAGGTCGTGTCGCAGCTGTTTCCACGGCGACTAGGTTGGGAGCGTCGGCTGTGTCCGAACTGAAGGACTTCAGCGGCAAGGAACATGACGAAGAGGCCGCCCGAGCCTGGTTCAACAAGGTTAGAACGGCCTTCCGACGGGATCAGATGCAGCCAGACGAGATGTGCTTGACATTTGCCGATTTGATGATAGGCCCTGCGCGTATTTGGTATTACCAGCTGAGCCGCACCGCTCGCGCGTCGTGGACTGACCTGGGTGAACAGTTCTAGATCCACTTTTGCGGTAAAGGGATCTCCCTCGCGCGCAAGTACTACCACATGCGGCAAGGGAGTCAGGAAGACCCACTGGATTACTTATACCGGCTGAATCTGGCCGGGATACGTGCAAACTTGAAGATCCATGATGGCAACAAGGAACAACGACGTGAACACGTCGACCACTACATCGATACAGTCCAAGATGACGATCTCGCCGGATATCTGGTAGTGTTGAGGCTGCCTGACTCAGAAGCTCTCGAAGGCGTCCTGTTGGCCATGCGACGCCGCCACCAACGTCGCAATATTGAGACCCAAGGTTCGAAATACCGCCAAAAGGCTCCCGCCCCTGCAGCCTCCTCGAGGGCGGTGCGGGTTGTGACTACCGGTCGCGGACGCCGCGGAGATCACGGAGATCTCAACGAGTTTGAGGGCGAATCAAGCAGTTCCGATAGCGAATCTGAAGACGAAAGAGCGCACGTGTTTTCGGCAGCTAGGACGCCTACACCAGGAGATGGTGAACAGCCAGGGGCGCGCCAAGACCGCGAAGACCAACTGGGGCGCCCGAAGTACGGCACTCGATGCTCACACTGCGGATCTCGCAAGCATACGGATCTCGGGTGCTGGAAGAGGCTCACGTGCCAGAAGTGGGGACACATGGGCCATCCTACCGACAAGTGTGCAAGTGCTGTGGAGACGTTCACGAAGCAGGTCAGTGTAAGATCGGCGACTTCTTCGATGCTGTTCGCCAATGGTACAACCCGACTCGCCATGCCGGACTGCTGTCCGAGAGCGTCGAGAAGGCGTTAAACTAGACCGCTCGCCAGGCCTGAACAGCCTGGTACGTGACGAGCGATCGAAGTTCTGCATTTATGCATATGTTCAGAGGAAGGCGCGAGCGTTAGAAGACCCAACTTCCTGTAATGCGGTGAATACAGCCAGACCTCTTACCTCGGATGAAGGTGACTATTCGCGTGATGGCCCTTCGACTGTCGCCGGGTGAACGCCGAGGTTACTGGAAGTATTACACTCCCTCCAAGTGGTTCAAGCAGTCGAAGGCGACCGGTGCGGTCAACAATGTCCGTGCCGTCCTACTCTGTGATACTGGAGCCGAAGTGTCGATAATCGACTCTACCTTTGCACGTAAGGTGGGTTGTGAAATTGATACAACACAGACAATGGAATGTGTTGGTCTGGGGGATGCTGTGTACCGCACAGAAGGCCGAGCAGAAGTCAAGCTCACTCTGGCTGGAGAGTTGGTGTACAAGTTCCGTGTGTGGGTTGGAGATCTCTCAGGACAAGACGTCATTCTCGGCATGGATTTTATGGTTCCTGCGGGGTTGAGGTTGGACCTGGCTGACGGAGCGCTCTGTCTGCCGGACGAAGTTCGCATCGAGATGACCGACCGTAAGCCACTGTATAGCAGCAAGGCTGACGCGGTCTACGCAACGGGATTCCATGAAGTCGGTCCTGGCCAATGGACAGAGATCTCACTCAAGTCCCACAACAAGCGGTTTGAACTGTGGGTAACGAGAGGGGGAAAATGGGTGATCACGGTGGTGAATGGTTGATTCAGTAACAAGTCGTACCTCCGGATCACCAACATCAGCACGAGCCGCCTGGTACTGGATCGTTTGGTGTGTTTGGCAATCTGGTTACCCGTTGGGCAGATCCCGCGTCGACCTGGATTCGCTAGGAAGGATTCAAACCGCTATCGGGAGTGGCAAACACTTGCGTTCGAAGCAGCTGTGGACACTGGAGATGCAAACGAAGCGGAAGTTGAAGAGTCTGGACCGCTGGTCGAGCGTCCTAGCTACCGGACTCCGACTGCGATTTTAACACGGCCTCCACAAGTGAAGACCGTTGAAGCAGCAGCAACGTCAGAAGAATGCACGCGACTCACACTGGACGACACACATCCTCAAATGCAGCTGATGAAAAGTTCGACTGATCCGACTAGGGTGACCGAAACCGAGGAGGATGTGATCTCTACCGATCCCGGTCAGGTGATCTCTGGTATGGACAGCGATGGCTTCAGTCTACCGCGTACGGAAACTCACGCAGGCGAGGAGAGCGGTCCATCCTTTACGAACCGTGGCGAAACACCGGTAGGCTTGGCGTCGACTCCGGCAAATGTGGCTGAGGCCGAGCTCCGCAAGGAGTTCCCAGAATATACCCCTGACCTTATGCCACAATCCAAAATACACGCCGCGACCACCGAGGAAATGGTTCATCGCACGTTGTCGGTCATCGTTGAAAGCGACTGGAGCGACAGCTGTAGCTGTGCGTCCGAAAGCTATGAGTCTACTGGTAGCTGGGGTAGCTTTGACTGGCAGACCGACGACGAGAAAGAAGAGGAGCCGGTGAGCGGAATGCTCCCAGTGACCCAGGTCGAACCAAGCCAAGGCGGAGATGCAACCGACATGGATGAAGCGAAGTATGTTCATGAAGGGGCCGATATCACTGCGGAAGACATCGAAAAGGAGATGGCGGTGTTACCAGAGATCCCCCTGACGGCAGAAGTTAAAAGGGAAGAT